GTGGGAGTTGGGCCTTTTCCTCACCCTGGTCTGGCAATGACATTTCTTGAACATGGTTAATAAATTCTTTCCTGAATTTTGGGGAAACAACTCGCAAGCACCTTAGATGTAGAAGTGAGCTCTTAAGAAGCTGTCCTGTGAAAAGTTTCACTTACACTTGGTAAAATCAAGAAATCTGCCCTCCGATCCAGCCCTCCTGTTCCTCTGTAGTGAGATGGGGAAATGAAACAGTGTTTGCTCTGCTGATTTGAAATGACGATAACTTGTAACACACATCTTGCTGATATGATGTGAGACAAACAGTAGGAATATATATATATATATATAATTGCAGTTATGAATTGTAACACTGAATCTTCTACAGTAAGAAAACAGCAGAACCTTGATGTTCCAAAGTGTCTTTTCTCATTCCTACCCCAGATATTTCACTATGCTTTTGTAGAGACTGACTTGACCAAAAAATGAGTAGCTAATACTTGATCAGCAGGAGACTTCTGAAATCTTGTCTCTTCAGAGGGTAACTTTTGCTCCACTGGCAACTCTTCAAACAGCTGTTAAAACCTCTGCATTGCTGGACTTGGAATATTTGTTTGTCCTCTGGATCTTGGTGTATATTCTTTTGATTTCCTTAACTTGAGTAACTATTTTTAAGATACAATTTTTTTTTGTTTGTTTTCAGCTTCTTGTTGGCTCTGAAGATTTTGATATCCGGGTGTTTAAGGAAGATGAGATCGTGGCAGAGATGTCAGAGACGGAGGTAAATTACTTCTGGCTGATGTTTATTATAGGTGCTGATGGAGCTGAAGCTGTTGTGTACTCTAAAGCTTCTCTGGTTCAGATTTATCATGTATTTAAATAGTTGCTTAACTGTTTGGCACAGTATCTATTCTGCTAGAACTGCAGAAGTTAGAGTTTATTAATGTCTTTCATTACACAGGGTTTTTTTTTTTGCTCTGTTTATTTACAAACCTTCGGCTAGGTGAGAAAAGTGACTATTGCTTGGCTGAAAGTCAGGGCTGTGTCCCAGGGTGATTAAGGTTACTGGGCTGTGATTGAAGCTCTGAGTGCCCTCTGAGCAAAAGAAGGTCTTCTACAGATTTCCTCAAATGCGTTGACACAGTCATGATGATGTCACTTCCCCTGTGTGTTTCCAGGCAGTGCATGGCAGGGCACAAGGGGGATGCCCAGGCAAAACTGGAAGTTCATGTTGCAATTGGAGTTATGCACTGGCTGTCTAAGGAGGGCTGTGATGACTAAACTAAGACATGGGGCAAAAAGGTTTACAGGGGGATAAATGAAAGGTGTAGGAGATGCTCTTTAGCTTAAGAAATGAGAGGAGACCTGCACTGTTAGATTTTTGTTTCTTGGAAGGGAGTAAAATAGCCTTTCCGCGGCATTTAGGGGTGTTCTCAGTCTTCTCACAGCCCTTCTGGAGCCGAGGTAGAGTAGGGGCAGGTTGTGGGCCTTTGTGCCTAAAGACCTGAGGTCTCCCCTCTGCCCAAGGTGGGACTAAAAGGCTTAGCTATTAAACCACTTAGGAAGAGCTATAAAGGACAAATCCACTGTTCTAGGAAGGGAGGCTCTTGCTGTGGCTAGAATTAGAACTGGGCCTGTAATCCATCCTGCTGTGTGTGCAGTGGCTGGCCTAGTCATGTAGTATTTTCTGATCAGAGGGCAGCTACAGGTCCATCACTCTCATGTGTGAATAATTTCCAGGTCCCTGGTAGAACTGTTTTAAGTTCACACCTGCAGAGTCTTAGGAGGCCTGTTACAATCCTGCTGTTCTAATTTCGAAAGACACAGCTACACCTAAACCTTTCTTTTTGGGAGGGTGAATTCAGGGAACAGTGTCTTGGTTTGGAAGTCTGGAACAGTTTGCATTTTGCCTGTTTAATCTCTTCCTCTGGTGAAACTGAAGCTGTAGACTGTTGTGACTCTTATAAATGGACAATCAGGTGTAGATTTAGGGAGTGTTACCTTTGAGTTCCTGACTGTTTCTGGGGTCTTTTGTCCTTATTGGGTGCCTGTAATTTAGAGGGTTTTGATACTTGGAGAAGATTGTGTGAGGAAAGGATAAAGGGTTTGCCTGTTTTATGCTAAAAAATCCCAAGGAGCTGAGTTTAAATAAGAAGTTGGTGAAGAATTTAATTGAAGGAAGTCTCTTGTGCTGCATTTTACAGAAGACCAGACAGATGATGGCAGTTGTTCCTTCTGACATTAAAATCTCCAGTGTGTGGAAAAACCTGCATTTCCAAGCACTGAGAACCTTAGCTCAGTGAAGAATGGGTCTTAGAAGGAGTGAGAAAGAGGCTGAGTTATGACTCTCAGGTGTTTCCCCAGAGCTCTTATTTATTCAGGTACTACCTAGCCTGGTGTTCCAGTTGTGTTCCAAAGAGGTCCAAGCTGTGGATGCTAATGATGTTAATTTTTACCTCATTAATCTTGGGCAAAGATTTTCTACCAATAATATCTGTAGGGCTTTCCTAACCCAGATAAAGCTGAACCTTTGACGTCCCCAGCTCCTGAAGCTTCAGGAATGTTGTGTGTTTGGACTGGTTTTTCACTAACAGTGTGTTAGCACTAATGACCACAGGAATCCTATGAGCAGTTGTGTTGCTGTCTGTGGTAGGAAATACTTGGGCAAAGTACACAGTTTGAGGGCAATTCTGCAATCCTTGCTCAAGTGTGTCCTAACACTGGGAATGCAGCTTGTGTGAGGAAATCCTACAAGGCTTTCAGTGATTTCAAACTGATTCTTAAAAGTAGTTTCTTCAGTAGTCGATGCTTCCTACAGACTGATTTACCATGTAAGTGCTGTAGAGATTATATGACAGATTGTGTAGCCTGTTCCCTGTTAGTTAAATTGCAGAAGATTTCACTGCTGTGTGCTCTCTCTCCCCCCTTTCCCCACCAGACTATCACTGCCCTCAGCCCCATGTATGGCAGTCGGTTTGGTTACGCTCTCGCTAACGGGACTGTTGGAGTTTACGACAGGACAGCCCGCTACTGGAGGATTAAGGTTAGTCCAGTTCCTGGAATACCATCACTGAAAGCTTGAAGGCTGCTAGGGAGACTTGGTACCTGACCTCAGGTCATCCTGATGTTATCCTGCCTCATTAGATGAACTTTGAGCAGAGAACTTGGTGGACCTTTGTTCTTACAAAATGTACCTCTTTTTGTAGGTACATGCAAAGTGAACACTGTGTCAGTTCCTTTTGGGCTGTTGGTGATGGCTTAAACAACGTGAATACAACCATACACTTAGGGATTCTTTAGCCTCACAGGGTTGTTTAAGTAAGAGGGAAATTTGAATTCATGTTTGAAGATGTTGCTGAATCAATGAACTGTTTTTCAGAGGCTGAAATCTCGCGTTGTCTGTGTTCAAAGTTAATTTTTCTCATCAGTAGCAATTTGCTGCTCCAGCACATCAATTTGGCAAGATCCTTTCCTGATGCCCATTTTAATATTCTTAATATGACACAGGTTAGAACAGTATGTTTAATAGTAATAAGAAAAGAAGATTCCATAGGAGGTGGTATGAAGAGGCTCATGGCTGTCCTCGGTGGTCTCATTTTATGACAGTGTTGAAGACCTGATTTTTTTTTCCCTAGAGGATTTGCCTTTTTATGCTTTGTTTTTGTGAGTTTAGTCATCTGCTTGGATAGAAATCTATTGAAAGAACAGTCAGATCCTTTGAAAGCAGTGGACTAGATTTGTAGTGCAAGGGCTAAGATTTCACGTGTGTGTGACCTGAGGGATAGCAATGCTCAAACTCCCTGTTAAGAGACGGTGCTGTATTTCTTTGACTAATCTCTGTAGCCTCATAGTCCAGTGTCTTGCATGTGTCAAGCATGTGCAACTCAGAAAACATACCCAAGCTTAATTTGTTCTTTCTTTTCTGTCCTCAGTCGAAAAACCAGGCAATGAGCATACATTCATTTGACCTGAACTCTGATGGGGTGCCTGAGTTGATCACTGGCTGGTCCAATGGGAAGGTGAGTTGATACCGTGGGGAAATGAGGAGCTGTAGATATGGAAACTGTTTGATCAAGGCTGTTGAATTGTCCGAGGAACAGCAATCCAAAAAATTAAAGAGAAAGCTGAGCAGTGAAGATCTATTGCAATAAACCTAGTTTGGCTGGTGAGTCCTGTGCCAAGTGCAAGATCAGAGAAAAGCTGCTTCCTCTGCTTAGCTCAGAGTCAACTGCAAGGGTGTGGCAAGTTGTTTCTATGGCAGCAGAGATCATATGCCACATCCTAAAGCTCCCGAGTGTCTGTTTTCAGGTGTGTCTGGAGGACACGCTAATAATCCTCTGCAGTGTTTCCTGAATTTCCAAACTGCAGGGGAGACAGAGCAGTTATGTAACAGGAGAGCAGCGTCAGTCTGGGCTGGGGCAGGATTAACCAAGCATCATTTAACTTTATGTAAAGGCATTCTACACAGCTCAGTCTTAGTCTTTTAAACCTGTTCCTTGGTATTCCCCTTTGCCAGAAATGACTGTTTTAACTGCCACATCTCTCCTGGATGCAGCTTGCCAGTTTTTTTTGTAAAGCTGTGCTTTTTTTTCTTCAACACCTCTCATTACTCTCATTAGCCTGGGGGAATTTAATAACTTCATATCAAGCTGGCAGTCTGGAGCCCAGATATGTTGTAATTTATGTTGGGTTAGGTGATTGTTAAAGAGAGAACCTCTCCTTGCTTTACTCCTGTTCTTTTCCACTGGCAGTCTCTGCCCATCTTGTTGATCTGAAACAGTGAATAGCTCCTAGAAAGAGTCATGCTGGGAGCTGTGCTTTGGAAAATACACACAGTGCACAGAACTGGGCCCCCCTCACCCTTCTTCTCCAATGGAAGATAATTGAAGGTTGTGGTATTTGTGTGTAAAAATAATTCACAAGGGCTGCAGCTAGGAGGAAAGGTTGTAAATACTGCCTCATTTCTGGTTTAGTCCCACCATTGCTGCATTCATATGTGCATAACCTTCCCAGTGCAGACCTGCAGTCCCTTTGTTTCCTTCCTTGTGTGTAACTTGGGGAAGCATCTCTGAGGAGCGGTTCCCTCTGGCTGAGTCTGCCTGCAGGTCGCTTCTTGATGGTTCCTTTTTCACGTGTGGTGTTGGGATCAGCGGAGCTGCGACTTCACCTGCAGTTCTGTGAGTGGAGCTGGCTTTCAGTTGACAGCTCAGAGTGTGGCATGACTATTTTGGAGCTGGCTTTTCTGTTCATGCTGAGGCTTGGAACTCTTTGTTGTCGCAGGTGGATGCGCGGAGCGACCGCACCGGGGAGGTCATCTTTAAGGACAACTTTGCTTCCTCAGTTGCAGGAGTGGTGGAGGGGGATTACAGAATGGATGGGAGCACCCAGTTAATCTGCTGTTCAGTTGATGGGGAAGGTAAGAGCATTGTTCAGGAATTTAATTTAATGCACAGCAATATCAGGCACATCACATCATCTCAGATTAGCTAAACGCTGTTTTGCTTCCAACATTTCGTGTGCCAAATTCCCTCGGCTTTATGTGAAGTTAAGGGAATTTGGAGTTACACTATCTGGAAGCAGGGTTTTGAATATTGCCTTCTCTGTGAGAATCAGCATGTGTTTCATTATGATTCAAGAAGCCATCAAAATTCATTTGTCTAATGGAAGAAGCCCCATCCTAATGCAAAGATAATGATATTCAGGACAGACTCTGGTTCTTCAGGCTATTCTATTGTAATAGATGAATGTATAGGAAATATTTTTTTTTTCTATTGGCTGCTTTACAGTGGGTAAAGGTTTAGAGAGCTAAAAGTGTGTGTGTTTTGGTTTTCTTCTGCAGGTGGTTTTTATATTAGAAATTTTAGGTGTTAACAGCTCTTTGTTTCCTGGAAAATGCTCTCCAGTTCTCTCCTGGATTTATCCCACCATGCATTCAAAAAGTCAGACCTAGTTACTGTGAGTGGAAACAAATATGATCACAGATTATTTAAATAAGCTCAGCATGAATTCACAGGGATGGCTCCAGGAAAGACACTGGCGTGATTATCCGACTGCTTGGCGTCAGTGGCCTGAGACAAGCAGGTCTGGCACAACCCATTTGAAACAAAAGCCTGTCCTTGTTAAATAGCATAATATTTCGGTGTCTGTCTTAATCACAGGCTGTGGGGATTTGCTGCACTTGGGCCTCAGCATATAAACCTTTTTCCCAGGCTGGCAGGAGGGGAGCACTGCAGGCAGTTCTGCAGAACCTCGTCCTTACAGAGCTGTGTGGGTGTCTGTCACTGAACGAGACCATCCTTTTCTGATGGGTCCATCGCAAACAAGCCTTGGCACGGTGGGGGTCCCTTTAGGCCTTACTGGTTAGTGTGGCAGGCAGCATGCTCTTTGCAGGTGTAAGACTTCTGTCCCTGGCTTTCATTGTCAACTGCAATCAGAGCACACAGCCCTAGAGCAGAATGGAAGTTTAGAGCAAATGTCTTTGTCTCATCACCTGTTCAGGTCCTCTGTCTCCACAGACACTCAGAGATATGTCCAGAACTCTGTGCTCCACTGGACTGCTGAGAAACAGGCTGTACCCCTTTGAAGTGAAGTATCCCTTGATTTGGGGAAAAAGTGCTGTGGGTAAATCTTGTTTCCTGGCTGATTGACAGTGACTTACAGTCACTTCCAGACAGCAACAACTCCTCTGACCAGCTCTAGAAATCCAGGTTACACATTTTACTAATTTTGCATAATTGCAAACTTGCCTAAGCACCTGAAAGAATGATTGTAGTGGGAATCCTCTTGCAAAAGGACTGGGTGCTGCACTTGTCTGGCCAGGTGAGTACAGCTTAAAGGCAGGTTGGAAATTCACTTTTTTTTTTATGTGCATTTCTCTTGTCTTGATCACCAAGAAAGGCAGAGCCTGTGTGGGTCTAAATCAATGCTCAGGTCTTCAGCTGAAAACCAGATTTGGTGTCTCCTGCAGAGGTGATAGATAGAAGAGAGTCTTGCTACAGAAAGTTTTGGGGAGGCTGGGAAAGGCTTTGCTGAAATGAGCTATGTTTTGTTTCTGTACAGTCCGAGGTTATCTGCCAGGAGGTGAGGAGATGAAAGGAAACCTAATGGATACGAATGCTGAGCAAGATCTGATCCGAGAACTTAGTCAGAAGAAACAAAATCTGCTGCTGGAATTAAGAAATTATGAGGAAAATGCAAAGGTACTACTTCAATAATGCATAGGACCAAAACACACCTCCTGTTGGTGTAAATCTGGAGTAACCTGGGAAGTGGCTGTGGGGCAGTCCAGACAAGCCAGAGCTGTAACCTGTCAGGGTGCAGGAGACTGTCTGCTGAGGGTTCCTGCTTCTGCATTTGGCTTGTTCCTTGTGCAAGTTCAGAACTTGCTTCTTGTATTTTAATAAACAACACTTTCCTTGCTCCTTCCTGTTGCCAGAGCAGTTGTGTTTGGAGCTGGATTCCCTTCAGCCCTGCTCTTTGTCTTATGACTGCAGATTGTAATTTTCAGTGCAAAAGCCAACTTGGGAGTCAGAGGGGATCAGGTCTCTGGGTGAGGGCTGGGAGCGCTGCCAGGGTGCAGGAAGAGCACTTGTGGCTTGATGGTGAACGTGCAGAAATAAAGAGTTTCAAAAATGGTCTGAGGAAAGAGCAAACTCGTCTTTGAACAGCAAAGAAGCACTATAGCAAAAGCTTGGAATTCTATAAGCTCGTGCTTAAAACTGGTATATGTTCAGTGGTTTTCTGAGTAAAGGTTTGGGTACAGACCCGAGCTCCATCAATGGTAAAGCACCCCAAAAAATTGCATCCAAGCATCCCTGGCTCTGTGCCTAATCCAGCTGCCACTCAGAGCTGTGTGAAGTGTCTGGGGATTGCTGTAATGTGACCTTCTTCTGCAGGAAAAAAGAACTTAGTTATGTGCGTGTGTTCGAGGTTTCTTGGCCAAAAATCTTGAAATTCTGATACTGAAGGGGGTGTGTTTTGTAACAGGCTGAGCTGAACGCTGAGCTGAAGGAAGCTGATGGGCAGAGAGGTGTGATTCCAGCAAACACCCAACTCCAGACAGCCCTGTCAGTTAATCTGGGCTCTGACAGCCAGTCTGCCCACGTGGAGCTGTGTATTTCCACCACAAATGGTGAGTGCTAACCTGCAACCTTTGACATTCATTTCATGTAAATTAATGCAAATTTTTAGTTATATTTAGCTTATGGTTTGCATGTCTCCCCTTTGTTGTCTATAATGTCCCCTTTGTGGCTTCTTTCCTTTCACAGAGTTTTGAATCAAGCTGTGTTCCTTTGTTGGGTCTCAGGGGAAGGGAGTTTGATGGAATTTGCTTCTTGTTATGTGTTATTTTCCAAGGCAATTAACATTTATCTCGGATAAAACCAGTGTTGGTGCTCCCTGCAGCACTCCTTGTGTTGACTGTAAACATTAACCTACAGCTGCATTACTGAGAGTGTTGTGTGAATGCAACTGGGCTTCAGCTGGCTTTAAGTGCAGAACTGGAACTACCCCAAGACAGCAGATTCACCTAAGCCCAGGCATGCAGTCAGGCCCAGTTGTGGTAGTCCTGGTCACCTGGCGTGTTTTCCCAATTCAGAGGAGGGGGTATAAAGACTTTACCGTGCTTAATTCTGAAAACAGTGCTGGTTTGTTGCCAGAGGACAACTTTTAACTGAGGAACTGCCTCTTCTTCCTTGTTGCTAAGACACCATCATCCGTGCTGTGCTGATCTTTGCTGAGGGCATATTCGAAGGAGAGAGCCACGTGGTGCACCCCAGCGTCCAGAACCTCTCGAGCTGTGTCCGTGTTCCCCTCACTCCACCCAAGGATGTGCCCGTGGATTTGCACATCAAAGCCTTCGTGGGTTACCAGAACAGGTGAGTTGTGGTCTCTGCTGCTCTCCAGGGCTGGCTGTGTGACCAGGACACGGCAGTGACGTGGCTTCAGGCTTGTCCCTTCTCGAGTGCACCGTTAGTTCCTGGCTGTCCCACTTCTCTGTGCTACTAGAAGGAGAGCTGGAATGCTTTCTTAAAAACACTGTTGCCCCTGTGATGCTGAGCTCTTCACCAGATAAAGTCTGAATGCCCTCACATCGCTGGGTAGGGAGGTGTATTTTTAGAGCGAGCCATCCACTGCAGGAAGAATGTGTGGGACTGAATTCCCTTTTTTGTTTTCTCTGTTTGTCTTTATTCTGCTTCTAGTAAGATGTTGGTGAACTTGTAAAGGAAATACCTAATCACATAGTAAAATTGTAAATTTGTTAGCTTAGGGAGTATGTTTCAGAGGAAGGATTATCAAAAATGTCGGCAGTGGGGAGGAACTGTACAACCTCACAATGTGATAAGCCTGGAATTTCCAAGTCCCAAGTCTTTCTTCCTGGGAAGCACCAAGCAGCTGATTATGTGACTGGAAGCTGGTGATACCAGTACCCAGCTAAAAAGGAAGCAGGAGCCGCTGCAGTGGGTGAATGGTGTGAGTGGCTGCTGTGTCAGTGAGTGTCTGTTTTGCAGCACACAGTTCCACGTGTTCGAGCTGACGAGGCAGCTTCCCCGCTTCTCCATGTACGCGCTCAGCAGCCCCGACTCGGCCACGGAGCCCCTGAGCTTCGTTAACTGCACCACCAGTGAGAGGCCACAGAGGGTGAGTTTCTGCTTCCTGTTCTGCAGTCCTTCAGGGGTGGAGGGTTTGCAGTCAGCTTGACATTCGCAATGGCAAAGGACAGGTTATTCAGGGAACTGCGCTGCTGGCCTTTGGAGCCTGTGTATTGCAGCTTTTTTTCTGTCTCTGAAAGAGGCCTCTGTTGAGGCACTCCCAGCACCAGGAATTTCTGCAGGAACTAAAGGCCTCAGATCACAAGGTGTTTTAAGAGGTTCTCTTGTTTGCTGTGTGCTGGCTGATGGAATGCCAAGGGCAGGAGCCCAGTAGTGAGTGTTGAATTTGTAAATGAGCAGGGAACAGGAAAAAGGCAGCTCAGTGCCCAGGCTTGGTTTCCGAACAGATAAGCAGCAGTGTTGCAGCTTTGGTTCCAGAAGATCTGAACTGTAGGATGGCAGTAATTAGAGCTGGTTGTTTTCCTCACTCTGCCATAGTTCCATGACCTTTACTGCATTAAACGGCCAGGACAAAAACCAAGATGAAACAAGGTTTTAACTTCTTGCAGTAGAACCAAGCCTTGCTTCCAACTTTGTCTGGTCTCCAGACCTGGGCTTATGTTTTGACCTTAGGCTGTGATCTCTGGTTGTTGGATTTGATTCTTTTAGGAATATTCAGCTTTGGTGCAAGGATTCTACTGTCCTCATTCTAAAAAGTTCATGGCATGGGGATGGTTAGGGGATGAAATTTAGTAAATGAATTTTCCAGGTGTCCTGGTGCACATCATGTGCAGGGTCCTTGTGTGGTTCCCCAGGCTTTACACACAGGGGATGGCTGATGCTCTTGATTTTATTTTTGCTAGATCGTTATGTGGCTGAACCAGAGCTTCTTGCTGCCAGAGGATGCAGAGTTTCAGAGTGCTCCCTTTCAGGTTTGCTTCACTTCCCTTCGTAATGCAGGTCAGCTCTGCATCAAAATCAAGCCTGGTGGAGAGGTGAGTACCTTCATGGACAAGGGGAAACACCCTCCTGATTATAATCCACTGGAACTCGAGGGTGGTGCCAGTATGGGGCAGTAAAAGTGAAGGACAACTGAACAGGCAGAGAAAGAACTCATGTCCTAGGGATGCTTTTGGAAACTTTTGGGTCTGTTTACTGTTAGTGGGTAAAATCCCAGGGCCTGTCAGCAAAGTAAACTTCTTAGCCTGCAGGTCTGCAGGAACAAGGGGATTTGTTTCCTCACAGGGTGGTTTCAGGGAGCCATAAGGTGAGGCACAAAGGTTGCCTGTAACTTCTGCACTGGTCCTGTGTGCACACAGATGCCTCTCTATCCCAAGCCTGAATAAAAGGCCCTTTGAGATCAGTGTCTCCTTGTCTACCACAAGCTGTAGAGCTTGCCCGTGCAACAGTTTTGGTGAAAGGACCTGCTGTGAGATGCTGGGAGGTGTTCTGGCTTGGAGGAGCGCTGAAGTGCTTTCTCTGCTTTCTGGCAGATTTCCATCAACACAGATGATATTGATCTGGCTGGTGACATTGTGCAGTCCCTGGCCTCCTTCCTGGCCATTGAAGATTTGCAGGTGGAAGCAGATTTCCCTGCCTACTTTGAGGAGCTGCGGAAGGTGCTGGTGAAGGTGAGGAGACATTGGGCATCTGTGAGCTGGCAGATGAGCAGTCACTGGGAGCATGTTATGAGAGGATCTCTGAACTGCTTTATCTTTGTGGAAACCAGCCCAGCCATGGCTTGCTGAGTGTTCCGTGGGACACCCTCAGCTTTCTGTCTGTTCCTTGTTCTGTAGAACAGGCCCGTGGACCCAGCTGTCAGTTGTTTAGGGTAATGTCAGTGTGTTGTCTGGGAGACTGAGCTGTGGGTTTGGCTCAGGGCACGAGATGTGTATCTCAGCCTGCTCACCCCCTTCCAGGGGCCCGGGTGCTGCCCTGGCAGCCGGGGTGAGGGGAAGGAGAATGGTCTCAGGGATGCTGGTGGGTTCAGTTGCGATGGGATTTCCTGTTTCACTGGGCCAGGGTTTAGGCTGGGTGCCCAGGAGCCTTGCTCAGGAGCTGCTTGCCTTGCACAGGTGGATGAACACCACGCAGTGAATCAGAAGCTCACAGCTGACATGGCTGAACACTCCAACCTCATCCGCAGCATGCTGGTCCAGGCGGAGGATGCACGGCTCCTGGGAGACATGTGAGCCACTGCTGCCTACCTCGTGTGCTTTGGGTTTGGAACAGCCAGTCTTCGCTTTTCAGGCAGAAAGGAGCACCAGAAACTATTGGTGTGATACAGGAGTTGCCTAGTTACAGCTTTTGATGTAGAACTGTACCTTTGCTGGTCCCACCATGAGCTCTCTTTGAACCTTGTCTTGTTCTTTGGGTGGAAAACCAGTCGGGGAAAGTGTAGAGAATTTACTTAGTGTTAGAGCAGGTGAGGTGAATCTACTTCAAGATGGTGAGATATGTTAGAAAAGATGCATTAAAGGAAGAAGGCAGGAAGAGCTGTCTGTGGTGTGTGAACTTTCTAGAACAACAAGAAATGTTAGGTGTCTTTTCACTCCCAATTTTCTGTGTTCTGCTAATGTCTGAGCTTTACTGTGAAGAGCAGCAGTGTCTGAGCTGCTGCAGGGCAGTACTGAGGAAAGGCATCTCCACTTTGGTTTTCTGGGTAAAATAACTGCAATAGAGCACTTTTTTTTTTAGAAGTAGAATAATGAGTATAACCGACATGTTTAGACAAGTGAGTTGTCTCGAAGCTGGCAGGCCGTGGTAGCCATCACAGCCAGGTATTGCTACACCTTTATACTGACAAACCAGGAATGACTTTCTTGGTCCCCAGAGATGCAAATAACTGCACTGATTGTTCCCCCAGGAAAAACATGAAGACACGGTACACCGAGCTGTATGATCTGAACAGAGACTTGATAAATCAGTACAAGATCCGTTGCAGCAACCACACAGAGCTGTTGAACAACCTGAAAGCCGTGAACCAGGCCATCCAGAGGGCTGGGCGCTTGCGTGGTGAGTCTGCTTTCTGGAGGGACTGAGGAGCCTCAGACCCTGCTGAGGCAGATGAGACGTGTCCCAGAGGCCACCTGGGTTAGTTAAGTGACCTCAGGCTTTTTGGCCTGGAACTCAATTAGTAGAAATAATCTTTCTTTTTTCAGTCACAGCCAATTGCCTGTGCCAGTCAACTGTGAGTGTCCAGTATGGTCTGGGATCACAGTTTTAGAAAGAACAGTTTAAAGTGGTTTCCAGCTTTCTGAATGACACAGAAATTCCTAGTTTTGTTGAACATAACTTAAAAAGCATTTTAAAAGTAGTATTTCAGTTCTAAGTTTATAATTCTGCTTTAAAAAAAAGCAACAACCAACTTAAGCAGGGCTGTTTTGTCTGTACTATCAATCCTGTAGGCCTTTGGGGAAGGGTGTTCTTTTTTTGTCTATAGCATTCCCCTTCCAGCGATCTCCTAAAACACAACTACAGATGATTCTTCTTTCAAGAAAGGTTTTTATTTATGTTTTAGAAAAAAGGAGGTGTTTCGCCATGTGTTTAAAAAATACCTGGCAGAAACCCCTAAATTTTGAGACTGGATCAAATAGGCATTTTTACCAGTTTTTTGCTCGGTAAGTGAAGTGTTTTTTCTTTCCTGTCCTGTCTCTTTGCAGTTGGCAAACCCAAAACACAGGTGATAAGTGCTTGTCGGGATGCAATAAGGAGCAACAACTTCAACACGCTGTTCAGGATCATGCGCGTGGGAACAGCCTCTTCCTGAGGAGCCGGGCAGCAGCTGCACACGGGCAGATGAGGGCTGACAAGCAGTTCATTCAGCCTCCTGCTCCACTGTAGGGTGAAGGAATTGCGAAGGTAGCACTGTAGTTAAGCTGTCAGCTGAGGAATACGCAGGCCAAAGCTTCCTGGAGAGAGGGCGTCAGAGCTGGAGTGCAGATGTGGTGTTTATGCAAGGCAGAGGTACAATGTTCAAGCAGTTATTTTTCTTACAGTAACTTATTTATGTATTTTAATATATTTTGTAGTTAAGGCGTTGACTTTTTCCATTAAATCGTAGACTGACTTGACTGCTTTTGTTCTGATTTAGTTGGGGAGATGTGTAGTGTTAACTTTATTTGTTGAGAAATCCAACCCAAACCACTTCTCTGGCTTTTTGCTGCACAGTCTCTGTGCTTGAACTCCCCATGCCGGAGAATCCTGGATTTCATGGCAGGGATGTGGTGGCTCTGCAGGCAAACTGCAGTGCACTGGAGGCACAGGAGGGATAACATCTCCTTGCTGGCTTTAAGCCAGGTCTGGGACCGCCATGCAGTTCCGTGGTCTGTGCAGGTAGGAAGTGCTCTGTCTCACATCTGACACTTCCCCACACCTGGATTGCAGGAAGTTTTGCTTCCAGGTGCCGGTTCTGTGCTGTGGCTGGAAAAACTGCAGCTACTGAGCTGGGCAAGGGTGCATTTCAGGAACAACAAAACCAAACTACACACCCAAGCTTGGTGCATACTCATGAAGAGCTGGCAGCACCTAATGGGATCAAAAGAAGAAAGTGCTGAAAAATCATTTGGTTCCTGGCTCAAACCTGTTTAATTGTGGAATCTCTTTGAATTGGATTAAAATATCACAGTAAGGCTCTCCATCTCAGATCTAAAGATATTTTTGGATCTTTGCCAAAGCAGATTTCTTTTAGAAGCTAAAAATATCCTGCCCAGGGTGGAGGCTGAGCCCTGGTGCTCCTCGTCCTGTGTCGTGCATCACACCTGCTGCTGTGCAGGTTGGGCTTTATGGCACAGGTGGGGAGGAGTTGGCCCATCCCTGTGAAATGGAGTTCCTGGGTCCCTTCTTGGGGCTGTCAGGAGGGTTTGTGTCCTGTAACTGGTCTGGCTCTCACGAGCCACTGCTGAATTAAAACATCAACCCACGGTTCGTTAGAGAGCGGTGGGTGAGCACGTGACCAGCTGGATGGGGAATGTGATTCTTACAGTGTGCTTTGATCCCCCAAACTTGATCCCCCCTTGCCACTGATTCAGTCCCTTCCATACAGAGAACTGCACTGTGGAAATACAGACCTCTGTCACTTCCAATCCGCAGCAGGAGCTCATTTGAATCCTTTTAAGAGCCTCTTGTTAGTCAAATCCAGCTCCTTGGTAAAAGGGTGGTGAGCCACCCATGCTGTTCTAAGCAAGTGAGCTCAGACTTGATTATGGAACAGTCTCCTGGCATGAGTGCTGGGCTTTCTGCCACCTGCTGTACCTGTTCCCACTGTTTCAACCTCCTGCTCCTAATGTTCAAAATCCTGACGCTTGCTTGCTTATATTTATGTACTCCATTTAATGATAAGAGAGTGGCTGTGACCAGAAAGCAGCTTTCCCATCAGCCTGATTTTCAGGACTTACACACCAGGCACTGCCAGTCCCAGCTCTGTTTTGCTCCTGGCAAGGTCAGACCTTTGCTCACTGTCCAGTCCTCTGATAAGACTGATTTTCCCCCATCTAAGTTTCTGACAACAAAGTTGTACTTTATTTTCCTGTAAAGCCAGCTTGTGTCTGCCAAATGCAGCTGAGGTGATCCCAGGCTTGCAGCTGCCTGTTGAAATAAACCTGGTGTGCAGTATTAAGCTGGCATAAGCTGAGCCTGCACCAGGAGACCAGTGTCTAGACAGGGTCTAGACCCCTGTCCTGCCCTACTGGGACTTGGCAGTTTGGTCTGCAACCCTCCTCATTTGGCCCCTTCCCTGCCTGAGCAATGAATGCTCTGCAGCAGGACTGTGCTGGATCAGCACCTGCTGAAGAGGGAGCTACATAGCAGTGATTCCATGTCCTAATTCAAGTTCCAGTTTGGAGTTGAGAAAGCAATTGGAACTGACAGGTTTATCTGACTTCAGCCCCTGTTTCTTCAAGCCCTGTGCGTTGCTGCTCATCTCAATACTAATTCACTGAATACCCAATGGCAGAGCTTTGCTGCACGTTTATGAGTGCTGGAACCATTCCTTCAGTCTGCTCTACAGCTGTATCTCACTCCAGACTGAGTTGTTCCTGTTTTCAGCTACTCGGCAAGCCGATGACCACCAAATCCCACAGCATTTGCTGTGCAGGACCCTTAAACAGCTGAAAGCTGCTGGTGCCCTGCCTCGAGTACCAGGCTGGGAGGTGCAATCAGCTGCTGGGAGCTCATCAGTGGCCTGCACCAGCCCATCTTGCCTGCTATGAAGTTCCTGCTCTCTGTTGCTTCCCCTCTTGTCGCTCTGTTCACTTGCTGTTCTTGGGGCTGTTTTTCTGTATTGTCCTGTATATTAATTTTGTGGGTATGGATATGTCTCATACTCACATTCCTTTCCATAATGATGGGAGTCCTTTGCAAGCAGCTACACCCAATTGTAAATATGGATTTGTGCCCAGCAAGAGCATCTACAGAGACAGCTCCCACTACTGGTGCTGTGTAAATTAAGACCCCTCTTCCCCCCTGTAGCTCACGCCATTTGGAATGTCAGCGTGTGGATCTTTCCTCTGTTCGTGCAGTGCCAGCCCCTGGCCTTTGGGACAGGAAGGGTGGGAGAGCAGGGATATTCATTTTTAAATCTTTGAAAGCCAACTGCAGATCTGGCTTCTTAAATGACTTCACCTGAGTCACCGCAGGCAGAAGGGCGGTTCCTGGTGTGATCAGGTAGATAGGGCCTTGCTCAAGCTGAGGCTGCTATGCCCTCTAGTGTAGAATTTATTACTAAAAAGCAGCAAACCAGAGCCCAGCTTCTTCCCAGGCTCCTGGCAGGCTGTTCCAAGACATGCCAGGTACATTCATAGGCTCACAGTGCAAAGAAGTAACTTCATTTTGTTAATAATTTACTTCCAACTTTGCCCAGCAGACTATGCTGTCAATAGCTGTGGTATCTGTCCCTTTTGTTCAAAACTACACAAATAATTTTGAGGTTTTGTTCTTTGAAACCTCCATTACTTGCCTCTTTCAGCTGGAGCAGCTCAGAACAAGAACTTCTTTCTCCCCAGGGAGAGCTGCAGCCCCAACAGGCAGCAGAATGCCTCAGAAACCTGGGATTCAGAGTCCTGTCCTCGCTTCAGGATTCATTTCTAGCTTCATCCCCTTGTCTTTGTCAGCAGTGAAGGAAGATTGAAATGAAACAAGAAAGTCTCGTTGGTGCACAGAGAAGACAAGTCAGAATGGGAACAGGATGGTGTAGATCTTGCAACTGCAGCTCTGCACAACCACCTGGAAAAAGGGCTGCATCTGGGTCTGTCTGCACAGCATTTAGCACAGTAAAGTCCTGCTCCCTGTTACAGTGCCAGGGCCATCCCATGCCAGCAGCTTTACAGCCTCACTGTTCCCACCTCCCCAGAGCTGTGCAGCTGGAAAAACCTCCTATTTCCCAGGGCAGCTCCTTTATTTTTGCCTCTCCAAACAGGGCACAGTTAAGCCCCAGAAAACGTCTTGGGCATTTTGTAACAGAACTTGCTCGACCAGTGTTTGAAGCACTTAACTGGCCCATTTCCTTTTTTTTTTTTTTTTTTTTTTAATAAAAACAGTCATCAGCTCGGGGCAATGCGCAGTTGACCCTGACAGGTCAGAGACACCACTGTGCTGCTCCCACGAGAGCACAGCTGGAAAGCTGACAGCTCCACACAGCATTAAAAGCAGTTCAGAGTGCACGTTACAATGGACTGAATTTCATTTGCACAGTTCAAAAAGCCACCTGGACCCCGCTGTGTGCTGTGTGATGAAGCTGCATCAGCAACATTTGCCTGCACTGAGGTCCCAGCTGAATGCCTGGATAGGAACCTGCCCACCACCCACCCCCATTTCCTGTGAGTGGTCACACTCTGCACCATCACTCATAATAGACAAAGGAGAAATCCCAAAATCCTGTTCTGTTCGGATGCTTGTTCAGGCGTGCCAAGCTACGATGGTTGATGTATTTCACAAACTTCAGAGTTTCTTTGTCTCTGTAAACTAAGGCCAAGCAGTTGTCCTCTGGATTCACTGTCAACAGCTAGAAGGCACAAAAGGAAGGGAGGATATCAGGGTCATAAGAACAGCTTTGATAGAATTCTGAAGAAGAAACAAAAGTTTCAAAAGTTAGAGCAAAAGTCTGGTGTTAGAGAATGAACTGTGACACCATTTTCATTTTAATACCCCTTAACCTGAAGCATTATTATAGAGTAATAATATATATTTAATAATCTATTACAGAGTTCTGGACTAGTATGGCTGCTCAGCACTGTCATTAGTACTGATGCTGGATGTGATCCCCAGGAACTGCACCCCCTGGAAAAGTGTCATCTCTGCCACAAGCCTTGTGTCCCTCCAAGGCAGGCTTCCCACGTGGCCCCAGGAGCAGGGAGCGGGGCAGGAAGGCTCCAGAGCAATCCTGAGCACCCTCAGGATTATGTTAGTGTACAACCCAGTGTAATTATATCACTCCACCCTAAACAATTTTATCCCATTTGCAGCTAGTAACTGAGGTCCTTACCTCTTCATCTTCACCTTTAGCAATGTAGGAGGTAAAGCCACCATATTCAGGATCCCAGTCTTAAAACAGAAAAGAAAGACCCTTAGAAAGTTCAGTGCTGCCCAGGCTCCTTACAGCCCTCCTGGACATGCCTTGGCACCCCACTGCCCACACTTAGTGGATACAGGATGATCCCCAGTTTGCCTCCTCACATGTAGAACAGTTCTGCCTTAGCAGACAGCAAAAGGATTTCAGGATAATTACCACCACGTGCTAGATGATTTCAGTTGTGTGTTCTGGGCTCAGCTGGTCTAAAATGCTAATGCTTAGATTTTTGTTTTCATCACTATCTAACCAGCAATCTAAAATGTTAACTGTTGGAAACTCTGGGCTTTGTGAATCAGAGGTGCAGTGACAATTCTGATGAGAAAAGGGGTGAAACAGAACACTTCCAGCAGGGTGTTCTGGCCACCTGACCCTCCACCTGCTTAGGAGAGGAAAGGTCCGGGAGGCTCAGCCTTTCCCTCTGCCCAAGCGCCACCTCCTGGCTCCAGCAGGAAAGGCCAGAGCTGACTCCAAGGCCACAATCCCAACAAATCTTTGTACACAAAGACTACTGAAACAAGGGTTTATACTGAAGTGAGGACTAGGACAGAATCTAGAGAGACCTTCCATGTAGGAAAAAGCAGGGAAATTTTGGTGGTTTTAGCACTGCTGAGAATTCAGAAGGGACTCCTTTGTGCAAAGCTTGTAAGGAGAGTGACATCTCTCTGCTGCCCACTTACCCTCACAGCCACAGAAGAAGAGCAGGTCGAGAGCAAACTCTGTTGCCTGAGTGTCGTGGACCAGAGTGTAGTGGCCGTGGGTCCAGCGCCTCAGCTCCCCCGCACACACAGGGCCCCCCGGGCCTAGGAGAGGGCACAGACACGCCAGGCACAGCCAGGAGGCCGGGCAGCAGCACGAGGGGAGCGAGGCCAGCTGCCCTCACACCACTGAGATCATCTGCTGGCCCCAGCACAGCACAGGTAAACCCACAGACTGCATGGGAATGCCTGGCTCCAGGGTATGTACCTGAACATTTGCTCCAAGCTCTGATGTGCTTTAGTCTAACCAGTTCTTCCCTTTTTATTAGGTTTCCCCTGGATTTACAGTGGAGCTACAAACCCCAGGAGCCAGCATGCTTTCTGCTCTGGAAGTACCCAGGAACTACCAGAAACCCCAGTGAAGAAGGATATTGCCCTGAACTCACTCTGTGTGTGCCACCCAAGGAGGTATGTCAGAATCTGGGGAAGCCTTTCTTTTCTCATGGGTCTGGCTCAGTTTTCAATCCATGTAGACTCAATCTATGCCCTCCTCATTAATGAATTAAAAATCACACGGTGGGAACAGGGCAGACAGAAGAGCCAAAAGACTGTGGAGATCAGAGAAGCAAAGCCTTGTTCCTACTAAGTGTTCTGATGGGATTTTTCATTAGGACTTTAAATATCTTTTATTCCAGTGTCCCCTAACTTGCCTGACTCAGTGCAGGATGATCGTTTTCAAAATTCTGCCCTTAAACTTCAGAGTCACTGTTTCAAATAAACATCACCAATCCCTGCACCCAAAATTAATCTCATCCTTGACAGCAGTAGTATCTCACTCCTGACAATAAATGCTTATTAAGGCTGACAGTGTTTTCTGAAAGGTTAAATCCTACCTTTGAGGTATCAGTTTTCTAGTTCTGAAATTACGTTGATGTGTTCACCTTTCTCCTTTGGATTTGTTATCCTGCATGAAAATCTGATTTATAAGAAGCAGGGATACTTGGATGTAGAAACCACATAGCGACTGACAAAAGCTTATTGGGCAATTAACAGCCTCCCCAGAAGTCCCACTCTTAAGAATTAGGTCTGTTCAAGTTAGTCATGGATTTACTCCAAATTCTTTGGCAATGGTCACTGATTTTGGTACCTAATCTGATGTGCTCCAAGTCCCACTCTTGTGCTGGCTGCAGTACAAGATGGGTTCCATTGAGGTCACTGGGGACTCTGCTGCCAGCACTCAGCACCAGGGCTGTGCTGGAGTCCTCTCACCCTGCTGCTGTACTTACTGTTCCGTGTCTCACCATCCTGTGCCTCACCAGTGCTGGCAGCCTGGTCTGGCTCACAGGGACTGCTGTCAGAGGGTTGTTCAGCCTCTTCCTGCTCAGGTTTGGGACTTCTGTGCCCAGCAGTGTCTGCTGCTCGTCCTTCCCCAGCATCTTCATCCTTGTCAGAGGGAGCCAGGAAGTGCAGCTTTAAGCCAGTGAAGTTGGAAAGCAGCAAGAACAAGGCCTCGGAGCGCAACAGCCGCAGGAATGCCTTCAGGGTGTCAGGGATGGTGCCTTCCTCTGCTGCCTCGTAGAGTCTGAAAGACAGCAGGGGCATGTCCTTGCTGGAAAGCCAACAGGAGCCACATCCCTGGGGCAGCAGGAACCGGGGCAGCCTCATGGCAGCTCCTGCTTGGCCTGACAACAGGCACAGTGTGCTGCCCTTCCCCACCTCTTGTTGGCAGGCCCCCGACTGCTCCACTGGATCCCTTTGTTCTCCAAGGCCTCACAGAGTAGTTGGTATTTCTCTTTCTAGGTGAAAAAGATAGTGCAGAGATATTAACATTTAGCTCCCAGGCGTGCCAGAAGCAGTGCCTCCAAATAAGGCGTTCTTAACTTTCCCTCTAGCTTGTTTGAGGATCCCAAGACTGCTGAATTTAGAGGCACTGCCTGGGAGGGCGTTGTGTCTGTTCAGTCAGTGACCAGGAGGTATCAGATGCTGCTTGGTTGTCTGCTGGGTGAGAATGCAGCTTGACTGAGCTACAGGTGCCCTGTAAACCAGAGGTCAGTCAGCCTTGAGAGGCAAAGCCCTTCAGGTAAGGCAAACCTCTCATGGGTCACTTGTTTCACACACCTGTGGAGTTCCCCAAGTGTCAGACTGCAAGAGCTGGGGGAAAGGCTGGGAAGCAGGAAGGGTGACGTGGGTTTCCATCCTTCTGCTTTGCTTTTTGCAGGAAATAGGGCTGAGTACAAGTGTTTGATTTTTGGTGAGTCCCTGTGCAGCAGTGTTCAGACAGTCAGAGGGGATCCACCCACAGAATCACGGAGTGGCTGAGGTTGGAAAGGACCTCTGGAGATCCATTCCCCTTTAGGGCACGGAACTGGGTGTTTTAGTTAACAGATGTGCAAGCAAGCCCTTTGCCAGCCTGCATGCCAGCTGGTGCCTGTCAGCCCTGCAACCCCTTCTGGCAGATGAGATCAAGTCAAACCACCAGGCTCACCTTCAGGAAGTCTTTCAGGAGAATTTCTGATCGCTCCTCAAATTCCTCCTGGATCTGAGCTTGGGAGTCCATGTCCAAATAAACTGGATTGATCCACTCATACAGGATTTCATGCTGGAAGGGAAATGGATTGCAATCCTGAGTTTGCAAAAGTGAAGAAATTCCTCAGTTCCCCCTACAGAGCTGGCACAGGGCTGGATTCCTACACACACACACTCCATTCCTTTATTGCACTGCACCACCAGTATTTGCTGCAGTCTCTGAACTACTGTAGGTATGCAAAACATCCAGAGTCAAGAAACATGCACGAGAAGGAAACTGGTTACAAATTTATGGACAGGGAACAAAAAGGAGAACGCGACAGGATTAAAGCATCCCCAGAGCATCACGGCCTCCCGCAGCAAGTACTGCAGGAACAAGAAAGACAGAGACATGCAGATAGGCAGATGCAGGCTTGTTACTCACATCACAGGGGATGTGGGGGCTCCTGGGCAGGGGAGCTTCAGCGTGGCGGGCGGGTCTGAGCTCTGCCGGGCCGTGGAACCAGCCGCTCACGGACAGGCGGCACTTGTGCGACACCACTTCCGACACCTGCAACGGCACCGAGCGGCACGTCACTGCCTGGGTCACAGCACAGCCAAGGACAGCGGTGACAGGCACCGTGCAAACTCATGGCAGGAGATGGACCTGACTCCAGAGAGCCCACCTGCACACGTGGAAAAGTCAGGGCTAGACCAGGTCGGATTATCGGAGAGGCCGAGAGCAAGCTTTGATGCTCAATCCATTGTATGTTCCAGAATTCCAGCCTAGGCTTTTACTCCAAGGCCACAGCAGAGCTCTTTCTGAGAGCCTTGTCATTCTGTTGTAAAGTAATTGCATTTCATTTTCCTGCCATTTATTCTGTTGAAGGACCAGCCATGACCTGCAAAAATCAGCTGTCCCAGCTCAGTCTGGGAGGTCAGACAACAGGGAGCACCCGTGGGCCTTGGCAGGCCATACTGCTCTGCTTTTTTGTCCTTTACTTATTAAAAAATGCTGTAACACAAGCCAGCATGAAGGACATTTGGCTGGTACCTTTGGCTCTTTATTTGTCAGACTAAGAGCAGACCTTCTATCCTGGCATTTACCCTGGTCTCTGGAAACCCTCAGTTTTCCCACAGTGATGGTCACTGTTAAACCTTAATTTCATGAAATTGTGCAGAGGTTGGGCTACATGGAACAATTTCACACACTCTAAAGTGCTGTGACAGTAGTGTGAAGAGAAAGCACAAATTATAGCCCTGCTGGGAAGGTGGTGGGCTCAGGAGCTCTTCTGGAGCAAAGTGATGACACAAAAGATGTGAGCTAGTTTAAAACAAGCCAACAAACAAAACCAAACCCCAGCCAAATTCACAGCAGGGGCTTGCCAGGATAGCAACACAAACCAGAAATTTTTCTTTCCCAGGATGATGAAGCTGGACTGATAGTTTAGTGCTGGCTTTGTCAGTCCTTGAAGCCCTGCCTTTAGCACACAGCACTTAGCACGAGTATCTGCTCTAGCCACAGTTCTTCTCCCTCCCCATCAGGATTGTAATAACACACAGAGGGAACAACCACAACAATGAGAATCGAAAAAGGAACAAGAGACAGCTCCTTGCCTGGTGGAAAGAGACTGGAGACACTTCAAAGAAAACCAGTGTGTTCCACGAAGGCACTAATGACTTGGTGATTTGCTGTGGCTGAAAGTGCTCTGAGGAGGAAGAAAACATGCTCTGGTTAAGATAGCTTCCAACTTGCCTCCACTCTCAGCCCTTCCAAAAGAACACAATGAAAGGCTGTTTCTTTGCCTGCTGTTGCTCGTGGTCTGTAAACCCCACTACAGCCCACCCCTGAGGTGCAAATTTGACCCATACATCTGCTTTTGAGGAGAAAGGAGAAATTCTTTATCTCCCTTCTACTGTTTGAGGAGAGTTGTTGCCAGGTGCACACGAGCCCCGTGTCTGTGACCCCCCGAGGCCAGGCCCGGGCTCTCACCGTCTGTGCCGTACAGGTCCAGCGTTCCCCCGTCCCTGCCCTCCCAGGGCGGCACCAGGTACAGGATGAAGGCGATTCTCCGACCCTCCAGCTCATCATCGTGGCACAGCAACACGTCTGCAATCACACACGTTTTGCTGCTGCTGCAGCATCTTCCCATCCTTCCAACAGCTGCCTCCCAGCTCTGGCCCCGCCAGGGTACAGCAAGAAGAGACACGTTCCTCCCAGGAACTGCGTTTTCAACTCATCGGCATCACCAGCCTGAGATCTGCAAGATTAACTTGCGTGGGATGGCACTGCAACTGGCAGATTAGCCCCCACAAACTCTACTGCAGCATTTGGAAGATGAACATTCACCCTTCTGCATGGAAGCAGCCACATAAAACTCTGAAAAGGTGGGGACCTGCAACAGCACCAGGCCCAGTGAAGGCCACCAGCAACAGAACTACAGCAACAGTTTTTCCATCATTTGTACTTTGTTTTCTGAGACTTTTATTTGCTGCTTCTGGGACCCTCCGGAACTAGAAAAGGGTTGGATGGGTTATAAAGCTAGGTATTCCGTTGACATTTTGTTTCCAATGCATGCACAGAAGCTTTAGGGAAAGGATCATTCATATACTGACCAGTGTACTCGTATTTAGCACAGGAGATGTCAATAGTTGGCTCCAGCTCTATCTGGGTCACAGCAGAAAGCCATGGTCGGAATTCTTCACACAGAGCGTTCCTGAGAAGACAAGCACAGGGCACTTGTTATAAAGCATCCATATTACCATAAACTAAACTAATTTGTTGTCTCCCAACTGTTTAAAGAGTTCCAGGTGCTGTTGCTGCGGGTGACAGCGTATCCTTTACCTCAGCGCGGCGATGTGGGGCTCGGGGTTTGCCCCCAGCTCGTCGGACTGCGGCGGCCCATGGAAGAGAAGAAGGGACGGGGTTAGGGCGGCTCAGCCCGGCCCGGCTCGGCACGGCTCGGCTCGGCTCGGCGCGGGGCCCACCTGCCGCAGCGAGAGGAGGTCGTTGTGCCGCCCGCGGAAGGCGAGGCCCATCAGCTCGTCCCGCAGCGCCTCCGCGAAGGCCGCGCCCGCCAGGAACCCGGGGATGACGGCGTGCCGGAACGGGGCCGGCTCCAGCGCCGCCGCATCTGCCGGGGAGAGGCCGCCGGTGAGGGCCGGGGAACGGGGCCGGGCCGTACCATGCCGTACCGTGCCGTACCGTACCGCACCATGCCGTACCGTGCCGCAGCCGCTCCCCGCGGGCCCAGGCCGCCCCCGCGCGCTCCCGCAGCTCCGCGTCCTCGAGAGCCGCGCTCAGCTCCGCGCGCACCTCGCGCTTCCCGCGCTTCGCTCCCGCCGGCGCGGCCGCTCCGCGGCGCTTGGCGGCCATGGCGCCCCCCGGCCGGACTGCAACTCCCGGCGGCCCCCGCGCCGCGCCCCCGGCGGCCAATCGGGGAGCGCGGGGGGGGCGGGGCGGAGCGCAGCTGGCCAATGGGCGAGCAGGGGAGGGCGGGGCGCGGTCCCGGCAGGCGGCGCGCGGCGCTCGGGGCCGGGCGGGCGTTGATGGCGGACGCGGCTCCCCCTGCCCAGCTCTGAGCGCCGCTCCCGCCGCTCCCGCCATGTCCGTGGTGCCGCCCAACCGCTCGCAGACCGGCTGGCCCCGCGGGGTCAACCAGTTCGGCAACAAGTACATCCAGCAGACGAAGCCGCTCACGCTGGAGAGAACCATCAACCTGTGAGCGCCGCCTCGGGCCTGCCCGCCCCTGCCCCGTCCCGCCCGCTCCCTCAGCATCCCCGGCCCCGCTCCCTCAGCAGCCCCGGGGGGGTTTGCGCTCTGTGCCCGCCCTGCGAGGCCCGGAGGGTCGCGGCCCCCCGGAGAGCCGAGGGCAGGGGCGGCACAGCCCGGGTGCCTTTGGGGCTCCCCCCGCACTGGGGGGACCGAGGGCTCGCCGGAGTGTTTGGGGTGAACGCTTTAGTGTGTGGAGCGTTTGGGGTGAACGCTTTAGTGCTTAAAAACAGCTTCTGGCTCGGGAGGTGCGGGTTGTCTGGTGCAGGTATTGGGGTTCAATTCAGAGTGCTTGCTACCAGAGAAAACTTTACTTCTGTCGTAGATACAGACTACTTGCTAATAAGTATTTACATATTTTTGTGATGAGAAACTATATATTTTAGCTTCTTCTAGTAAATCCTGGTGGATGTAGAATGTGCTCTTTGCTAAGCATGTCTGTCAAGATGCAAAAACCAGCAGATGTTAAAAGTGCAGCGGTCAATATTCAATTTGAACTACTTGTCGCTGACACTTGTGTTTTTTGGTGTAGCTGAGTTTATTCAGAGTCTTGTGAAAGTTCAAATATGAGCTTCAGAGACTGGAATATTTCTATAGAGTTTCTGAAAAAATGCCTCATCAGGAAGCTGTGTTGTCAGCGTCATTTTTTTTTTAAAGTCTAGGCCATTTCTTGCCTAACCTTTCTTTTCTGAATGTTTTCAGTCCTTTTTACCTGGAGAAATCACTGAGTTTCCACTGCACTGTCCCAAGAGTGCAGAGGCCCAGCACCAGCCCAACAGGGGGATCTGCTCACACTCTTTATCTTACCCCAGGCTCCCAACCCTGCCCTCAGACAGTCAGCATTTCTCCTCTTCTGTGATGCCGACGCCTGATTTCCTACTCCAAAACAAACCCACTCCAAACCTACTCCAAACCAAGTTCTCAGGCCCTTCATTACATCTGCAGAAAACAACTGCAGTCCTGTGCAGCTTCCTTCCTTGTTGAATAACAGTTGGTTCTGCTGGGCTCCTTTCCTTCTCCTGAGCCAGCCCCAGGCTGGTTGTGGCTCAGCAGGTCTGTCCGTGCTCGTGTGTTCCCTCCAGCAGATCCCTCTGGGTCCAGGGCCCCGAGAGCCACCAGCGAGGATTGTATCCCTGCACTCCGAGTCACCCAGCAGGCACACAGGGGGCTGCCTCAGGCCGGGGGCTGTGCCAGAGGGGTTTAAAGTTGGGTTTCTTCACGCAGTGCCGTTTCCCCCCTCGCAGGTACCCTCTGACAAACTACACGTTCGGCACCAAGGAGCCCCTGTACGAGAAGGACAGCTCGGTGGCCGCGCGGTTCCAGCGCATGAGGGAGGAGTTCGACAAGATCGGCATGAGGAGGACGGTGGAAGGGGTGCTGATCGTGCACGAGCACAGGCTGCCCCACGTGCTGCTGCTGCAGCTGGGGACGACTTTTTTCAAGCTGTAAGTGCTTCTTAAACTTTAAACTGTAGTTTATCGTCACAGACCGCTAAACAGGTGGGGAGAGGTTAAACTGTGGCCAACTGGTTGATGTTTTGAATGAGATTCACATCTTGCTAAGACTTTGTGTGTGCTGGTGTTGAGATAAGAATAAACACAGGCAGTATTTACAATCTTTTCTTCAGCTTTTGGTTATTGTTGTTAAGACTTTAAGTGTCCCAGTCTTTACCATATCTATTGTTATGCTTTGTCCTGCTCAACTGAAAGCATTTTATATAATAGTTATTTTTATAAGGGACATAAGTAGCCATTTTCCTCGTGGTTTTGGTGAACGTTATCCTGCTGTCTTCAATTTCAAAGGTAGATTTGGAATTTCTGACTTGAGGACCATAAAAGAATTTGTAACTCCCTGCCTGGAAGCACATCTGGTAAATGCAATAAAATGTAACTTTAGCTTTCCTCATTGATTATTTGAACAGCCCTGGTGGTGAACTCAATCCTGGAGAAGATGAGGTGGAAGGGCTCAAACGCTTGATGACAGAGGTCTGTTTCCTTTTGTTGTGTTGCTGTAGCAGAATGTTACACTATTTTAGAATTTGGCAGAAGAAGCCAAAACATCAGAGTGGTCTCCTTACCGCTGCTGTTATTTTGTTGCTTTTGTGATGTTCTCAGGTAGTTACACATAAGCAGTCAAGTGTTCATTTGTCTGCATCGTGAGCGTGGCTGACTCCTGCTGCTGCTCAAGTCCTGTGTTCATTTGCAGCTTTGCTTTCTGACTGGCCTCAGGCAAGTGAGTGTGCAGATGAGCAATAAAATATGTTGTGGAGCACAACTGGTGAGGACTGGCCTTTGAGAGAGTCCTCCCGTTGCACCACTAACCTTCCATGCCCTCCAATTAGCCTAAATTATTCTGCCAGCTGGTGTAACAATGTATTTCCTTCTTCCCTGCTCAGATAGGACTCAGTCCAGCTGAGTACAGCGTGGAATTTGAAGTGCTCTCTGAAGTGGCCTTGTCCTGCCTGGCGAGGCTTTTACTAAAAAATTCCACTTCGTACAAAAATACTCTACAGTTCTACTGAAAGCTGTCTCAGAGCAGTTCTGAACTGCATCAGACACTTACTACAGCGAGTTTTTGTTCTTCCAGTCTGTGTTTTCTAAAAAAATGGACTGGGGTAGTTAGAGTTGTGCTTGTTACTGATTTTTGGTAGATACTGGGTCGCCAGGATGGTGTTCAGCAAGACTGGGTGATTGATGACTGCATTGGCAATTGGTGGAGACCCAACTTTGAACCTCCACAGGTGAGTACTCCTGTGGGCTTCCATCTTCTTCACTCAAGTACTGATTGTACTTCCAAAGCCTTCAGCCCACCTGCTGGCCTTTTGGAGTACCTGCTGCATGAGCAGTTAGTTTTCCTGGTTTTTACCTGTTTCGTCTCCTGTTGGTGACTGGGGAGAAACTGCAACCTCTTTTTCTGGAAACTTCTGTCTCCCTCCTCATACATGTCATGATGGATGAGAAACCACTGGATGTAACAGCTTCCAGTTCTGTGCTGAGACAGATGCACCACTGGAATTCTTTTTGTAGCCACAGTGGAAACCCTGGCACTGCTGCTTATGGAACAGATGCCCTGTGAATAAATTAGTCTCACTGCTTTGTTTCCAAAGGCTTTTATACTGAAAATCTTTGCTCATTTTGCTGCTGTGCATTTCTGTCTTACTGGGTTGTTTTAACTGCTTGTGAGTATTGGGGCCCATGTAGATCCTGTCACCAGTTGTAGCAGCAACAGCATTCCTTTCTTAAGTACTTTCTTATAATTTTTTTTTTATTTGATGCCAAGAAAGAAGAATATATGACACATTGAAAGCTTGCTCAGTGCTTGATAATTTATAAAGTTTTGCACAATATTTTCAAAGCTCTGTACAACTAATTTTTGTCATTTTTCTTGTAGTATCCCTATATCCCAGCTCATATTACAAAGCCGAAAGAGCACAAAAAGCTTTTTTTGGTCCAGCTTCAAGAAAAGGGTAGGTATTTGTTTGCAGCAAAGGGTTGTATTTATACCAGTGTCTAAATGCTTGCATTTCCCACAGGGGGATGTAGCAAGTTTGTGTTCATATGCTTGCAGCTGTTTATAGTTGGTCGCTAACAAAATTAAATGCTGGTGTTGGTTCTGAAGGTAGATGATCCTTTGAACATGAATTCCTGGTAAATTCTCATTCCTGTTCAGCATTTGAACCCCATGTTTAAGTAGAAAAGGAGTAAACCTTCTTGAATGCTCTGTGTGGTGACCTTGTTTTGAGGGCTGTGTGGGACAATGATACCCTGGCTGAATGTGTTCTGGTTTGTCTTATTTACCAACTTGTATTTGTTTTTAGCTTTGTTTGCAGTCCCCAAAAATTACAAGCTGGTGGCTGCACCCTTGTTTGAGCTCTACGACAATGCACCAGGATATGGACCAATTATTTCCAGCCTTCCTCAGCTTTTGAGCAGGTATATTGTGTTTGTGTTTATAGCGTGGAGCATTTTTGTGACACGAATATCTGTAGGGACAGCTGTGTTTCTGCCTTCCTCTTCCCAATGTACGCACTCTTCAGGTTTCTTACCTGGACACGGCTTGTGCCTCAGGTCTCCAGAGCTCACTCGTTTCTTATTTCAGTGGATGGTCATTCAGGCATGCCAGACATCCCACAGCCTGCCAGCTGCTCTTCAGGAAAGTTCTGTCCTCCTCCTGCTTTGATGAAGAAAGTCTGCTAGCAGAATGTCTGCACGGGTGTTGCCCATAATGGGCTTGTTTCCTGCTGGTTTTTTTTTTTTTTGGCTACCCAGCCCCAGCTTTGGCTTCCCCCTTCTAAAAACTGCAGGTACTTCTGAGTACCAGCAGAACGCTGGCTGCTGTGCAGACAGGTGCTGGTTGGGTAGCAGTGCAACAGAGGCATCTGGAAGCTGAGAGGGATGGCTGTTTCCACTGCTCTTTGTGAAACTTAGCTGAGAATTCTGCTGTTGAGTATGTCCATACATGTTACCTTGGGAAAATGTAAGGGTTGCCTGACAGCAGAAATACTGTGAAGGAGTTGGTGATGGAGGAGCGTAACTCTCACTGGGATTTTCATATCTATTAAACTGTCTTAGGAGGTGAAATGTTAATAATTAGCTCTTCTGCAACCCTAAGAGACAGTTGTGCAATGCTAGAGGAGGAATGGCTGTTAAAAAATGATGCTATACTGTAAAGCTGTCTTACTGAAAAAATGCACTTTTGTCCTGTCAGGTGGAGGCTTATCCAGAGCAGAAACAAATCATTTGCATAACAATTCAAAAACGCCCTTAAATAGAAAGAATGAAAATTCCTCACTTGGTATAATCCTTTTAAATTTTAGATTCAACTTTATTTACAACTGAACTCCTGTTTACCTGAAGACTCCCAACAGAAGAAGCGGTCTCTGTGAGCACAGCTTTAAAGTGTAGAGTGAAGAATACGTGTGACACAAGGATTTTTTTTTAAGTCATTCTGTTCCTGGAGGCCACTGAAGTTTCTATGGTATGAACAGAGAAGTGAATCTCAGCTGTTTAGGTAGAGAGATGGCAATGTGATACCAGTGTTTTATTCCCATTGTAATACTCACCAGTTTTTTGTTTTGTACAACATTAAACAAAATGGTTAAGGTTCTGTTTGTGTCTTGGGTTTGGTTTGGGTTTTGGTTGGTTGGTTGGGGTGTTTTATTTATATTTATTTAGTTGTCTCCTACTTTTAGGGACATATTTTAAACTTTTAATACTTCAGGAATACAGAAGCTCTTGGAAACCAGAGGAGGAGCTGAGCCATTCAGGGCCCAGTCAGATGCTCTGATCTGCACCCCTGGCAGGGAATTAAGAACAGGGAGAAATGTAAACAGTATAATAATTTTGAGTCTTAACCTGGAGAACAGAACTGGCGTTTTGAGGGAGTATGAGAACTTAAGGGCAACTGTAGCCTTTATCTGTTACCAGAATTGATCTGTTTGTACATGGCTCAGAGGAGATGCAACATATTCTTTCTCTGCCCCCTTAAGACAGTTAACAACCCCAAAATTTCTGTTGGGCTGGCCTGAGATACAGTTAAAATAAGGAAAGCGAAGGTAATTTTGTATATTTTTCCTTAGCTACGGGACAGAATTAGGGTCATGTTGAAATGCTTTGCTAATGCCATATGCAAGTGGTTCCACGTTATGCCGAGCTGTGCTGTGCCATCGTGCCAGGGATATCCATGCTTCTGCTTTTTCTCCTCAATATTTCAGTCTCTTGCAGGTAGTAAAAATCAACCTTACTAACTTTGGGGTTTTTACATGCTAGGCTAAACTTAAATTCCAGTTGGATGTGACATGTCCCAGTGCCTTTAGCCCTCCGTAATTTTACTTGAAAAGTCTTTAAAACATCTGTTTCCGTGTTCTGCCTCTGATCAGGAGATGCACTGTTGCTTGTGCACTGTCCTCTTTTATGAAGGCGGGGTTGGGAAGTGCCAGCTGCCAAGAGAACTGAGTCTCGCCAAAGTGCTTGGCTCTGCTGCCATCTGCACTGGTAAGCAATGTACAGAACAACCCTGACAGCTCGGTGCCGTGGTCATATGGAAGCTGTGCAATATGGGAAGGGCACTGACAAATGCTGGGAAAGGTGGTGGTAGGGCTGTTCTCTTTGGTCCTGTGGATGGAAGGCCTAGGCGGCTGCTGAGCAGAGAGTATGGTTTCTTCCCTGCCAGGTGGGGGAAATAAAGCTATCAGGTGACTGTAGAACACAACCGTTTTGCCCGTGGAAGCGAGGAAGGGCAGGTGGAGGCTTGGGAAGTCAGTTCCTACAAGATCAAGGAGCAGAGTGCAGCTTTTGCTCCCTGGCGTTTAACAGCACCCCTCACCTTCCGCTGCCACACAGCAGTTGGAGAGACCCATTCTTGCTCCAGGCTGCCCGTGCAAGGGACACGTGCGGTCTCCCCGCGTTCTGCCCTGACTCCGTGGCTGTGCTCTGTGGCTCCGGCGGGGTGCGGGGTGCGGGGTGCGGGGTGTGCGGTGTGCGGGGCAGGGCCGGCCCGGTGCAGGCGCCGCCCCGGCCGTGACTCAGCGCGCGGGTGACGGGCGGACGCGGCGCCCGGGCCGGGCCAGGCCGGGCTGGGGGGTTCGGGGCCGTTCTTCTCTCCCTTGAGCGGCGGGGGCGGCTCTCCCGGCCCCGGGGAGGGGCGGCGGGGCGGGCGTTGGGCCGCGGCGGCGGAGCGGGGGTGTGGGGAGCGCGGCGGGCCGGGAGCGGGGCCGGGCGCGGCGGCGGCGGCGGCGGCGGCGACGAGAGCTCCGCGATGCCGCTGCTGTTCCTGGAGCGCTTCCCCTGGCCCAGCCTCCGCACCTACACGGCGCTCAGCGCCCTGGCGCTGCTGGGCGCCGGCCTCAGCGCCTACCGCGCCCTCAGCCAGGCGCCCGCCGGCCCGGCGCTCACCGAGCCGGCCGAGCCTCAGCGCTGCTCCGGCCCGCGAGCCCTGGACGTCGCCTACTACCTGCTGTCCGACAGCCTCTGCGTCTGGGTGAGCCGGGGCGGCGGCGGGGCCTCCGCGGCCTGCGGCGGGGCCGGGCCGGGCCGGGCGCGGGGTCTGTGGGCCTGTGCCGGCGCTGTCCGCAGCGGGCGGGGGGGACGGGCGGGCTCGCGGCTCTCCCTTTTATTGTTCGGAGCTGCTCGCGGGGCCGGGGGGGGCTCGGCGGGGCCGCCTCCTGCCCCCCGGCCCGGGCAGCGGCGGAGCCGAGCGCTCAGCCCGCGTTTGTGCCCGGCCCCGGCCGGGGCTGCGGGAGAAGCTGTCGGGGTGTTTGCGGGGGTCCCCGGCGGGTGCTGCGCTTGGGCTTCTCCGAGCACCGCCCGACCCGCTCTGCCAGCAGCCTGAGTAAGGGACCGTCAGGGAGTCCAGCCCGAGCCTTTCGCTTTGTTTGCCTTTTTTTTTTTTTTTTTTTTTTTTTTTTTTAATTTAAGTCATGTAGGTAAGAGGAAACATTCTCGTCATTTAAGGAAAAAAAATAATTCTGTATGTCTTTAAACCCAAACCTGGCAATAGCGTATGAATCTTGGCTCGCTGATTTGTAGTTGAACAAGGGGATATCAGAAACCTTGCTGAGCTGCTGCCAGTGAACTTTCCATGTGTCTGTCAGTCAAAGGTGGCAGGAGTTGGACGTTTGCTTCACGACGTGCTTGCTTGACTGAAGTGCTGATTTTTCAATACAACAAATGCATTCACCTTTGTCGAAACCTGGTCTCAGGACCTTGAATGAAGAGTCCTGGAAAAGTTTATTGTATGTCCTGTAGAAATGACAGGTTGAGGCTGCTTCATCATCCCCCTTCTCACCTTTTTTGGTGTCCTGCACAGGTCAGAAGTTCATTACACGTGTCTTTGTCAAGTGTGAGAAGCAGTTTTCTCAGGCCCATGTGTTCTGCTCCTTGCTGCTTTGCTTTAAAGCAGTTTCCCAAGAAGGCTTTAAGCAGTGTCCTTACTGAAGGGCTGTGTGCTACTCAGCATGTTTTGAGGCAGCCTCTGAGTCTTGTTACTGTCACAACAGATTCAAAGTGGAGTTTTCTCACCTGCCATATGTTGAACAAAACGAGCATCTTGGTGATCTCTAAGTTCTGTCCCCGTGTTCGTTCATGCTGAAATTTGCTGATCTGTATAAAATAGTTTATTGTGAAGAGGTAGCTCAGTTTGTTGGCTGTGCTGCTGAGTCCGACTGACTGTGGTAGTATTCCTAGATAAAAAATAAGTGACTTATCAGTTGCTACATGGGTCTTGGAAGAGGCTGGGCTTAAATTTCACCAAAAAAAAAAAAAAAAAAAAAGGCAATTTATACTGCTCTGTGAACAATGGCAGGTTTGTTAGACTTGTTCATTCCCCTTCTCTCTCTCCCTCCTTCTAAATAGGGCAAAAGTATTAGTCACTGACTGCGTTATTTCTTTCCAGGTGCTAGTGAACACTGCCTGCTGTTTTCTGATGCTGGTTGCTAAGGTGATCCAGTGTATGGTGTTTGGTCCTCTTCGTGTCAGCGAGAGGCAGGTGAGACAGCAGCATGGTGCCCTGATGTTGTACACTGGGAAACTGTGACAGCTGGGGTGGTTTTCTCTGTGGAATTGCTGAAAGTGCAAGAGAAAAGGAAATTTTAGAACAACATAAATCTAGCCATTTGGTTTGCTAGTATGTCCACAGCCACATGTATGTTCCAGTTTATTTCTAAGGGAACTTTTCCTGTTGTATTTTATAAACCCATGGTCAGCTTGAACACCCTGTTTCCTTACTGAGCTTTGTCAGATTTCTTACCTCACTTCAGAACACTTGTAACAGGTTCTCCTCTACCCAGGCTGCACCTGGCAGCATTTCTCAGCACTGGCACTCTGAGTTCCCTCCTCTTGGTGCCTTGACTGCTGGAGAAGTGCTGCCCACCCTCATACGCTGAGAGGAGGGTTTATCAGCCCTCAGATTTAGGGGGGAGTAGGGAGAAAACCGAGAAGTGAAACTTTCCAGAGAAAGGAGGTGAGCAGGGCTGAAAACCAAGACTGTTTAATCCTGCTCTCGGGCTAAGTGAGAATGTTTTTAAAAATGCAGCAAGGGAACCGTGAAAGCCCAGGGCTTTTAAAGGCAGGATCCTGCAGAAGCTCAAAGCAGCAGCAGCAGTTTGAATAGTATCCATATATTAAAAAAAAAAAAAAAAAAAGGCAGATGTGTAAGTTGCTCTGAGTAAATGCAGCAGCAGCGGTTTGAAGTGTGGTCACGTATGAAAAAGAAGAAGTCTATAAATGCAGTTCTTTAGGAGGAATCAGGCCATGATGATTTTTGACATGCAGAACTGAGGCACATCAGGCCTCATTAATAACCGTGGATCTCTCCAAGCCTATTGTGTTTGTGATTCACACCCCGTGGAGTCTCTGAGGGGTGTGTTGAAGCCAAAGGGCTATCAGACTGCACCGAGTCACATTTTCTTTCTAGCCCATGTTAACTATGTGGAATTTTAACCAGAGATAGCTCCCAGGATGTTCTCTACCCTGTTGAAAACAAGTGAAAAGCAGTGGCAGTGTGGATCCACTTGTGTTTGGACAGTGGGAGTCCGTTTCAGTTCCCATGTAAAGGAAAGGTGGTTGTTAATACTGGAGAGCCCCAAAACAGCAGCAGCACGAAGGAATTCTGGGCCTGTCAACGAAACTCCTGGAGATTTCATTGTGTTCTTTAACAAAACGTTTTGTTCCATAAATTTTTTTTAATCCCTACCAAGCTGGCTTGCTGTCTGCTGCTTGAGAGCATCATATTGCTCCTTTCACGCTGCATATGCGTGGGAATCATTTTTTTTTTCATCGCTCATGCATCTCATTCTCCACCGTAGGCATTGTGATTCCTTAAGGACAGACTCTTGTCATTCCTTAATCATCTGTACTTTTTGGCAGGTTTTTGGAAGCAAGGTGCTAGGTGGTTTGGGCACCTTGAATAACTGACTGTGGCACTTCTTGTAGGAAAGGGGACTTCGTGCTTGCAGCCTGGCAGCTGTGTTGCTTGGGTGTGGAGAGTCAGACTGAGACCAGACTTGGTTTGTGCTGAGCACTGTTTTAGAAGCATGGCTGGAAACTGTAGCTCAGTTATGGTGCCATGGTACAAAAGGCTATCCAAATACTAAGGACTGCTAGTATTTTTTTAATTCAGTAAAGTTAACAAATACTATTCAAGGTGTGTATACTAATATATTGCATTTCTACTTTCGTCTCTTTTCTCTTTTCCCTTTCTCTTTTCCCCTCCTTCTTCCCATTGTGTGTGGATTGTCAGCGCTTTCACTGCAGTAACCAAGTGTATTCCATTACAGCACCTCAAGGATAAGTTCTGGAATTTCATTTTCTACAAGTTCATCTTCATTTTTGGCGTGCTGAATGTTCAGACAGTGGAAGAAGTGGTGATGTGGTGCCTCTGGTTCTCTGGACTCGTGTTTCTCCATCTGATGGTCCAGCTCTGCAAGGATCGCTTTGAATATGTAAGTTTTGATTCAGGGCTGTCTTTTGGGACGTGCAGATTGTGTTTCTGGTTGGGGCACTGGCTCAGGAGTGGTTACAAACAGATCATTGAGACCTTTCTCCCCCTGTGGCACTGAGCACGTGCACCTCCCAGTAACTTCAAACACTTGCTTTCAAGTGCAGTGTCAGTCTTACTCCTTCAGTTTTCCCAGGAGACAAATGGAGCTGAAGATACTCATTTTCTTTGATAAATTGCTCCTTATACGTGCCCTGTAATTACTATTACATAACTGCACGAGATGTCTTTATAGCTCTCCTGAGTGAAGGCATCCTGACAAGGGAACATCCTTTGGGTTGGTGCCCTTTGGGATGGGCCTGAGGACCCTGTTCCTGCAGTTCTGGCCTCAGGTTTCACACTCAGACCTACCCAATTTTGACCCCTGGTGTCTTTACAATATACAGTGCAACTTCCTCCTTAAGCTACCTTCCACTTTCTGTTAATAATACCAAGAATAAATTTAGTAGAGATGCAGAAATTGAAGGCTGGGCAAGGAAGAAGGAGCTGAAATTTGAGCAGTAAATCTTGGTCTTTAAGCATCTATAGCGGGCATGCATTTTCCTAGGCTCCTCTCTCCTGGAATAGAAGTTTGACCTAAATTGAATCTGTGAATTTTTTTGTTAGCTCTGTGCTTTGCAGGTTTCTTTAAATTAATGTCCAGCCAGGCCTGTTAATTTATAGGTAGCTAAGCACTAAACTTGCAACTGGATTGGCTGGGGTTAGGAAAATTGAGATAGCAGTGAACAAGGCAGTCATCTGGTATTTTTAGTGTTGTTCAGAAAGCTGTGAAAGAATAAAGAAATCCTTATTATATTCCTGTTGCATTCAAAGCATGTATCATAATTTTTTACTTGAACAAATGACACTTGTGTGATCTGCCTTGCAAAGGCAGGGGCATGTGGACCTGAACCAGGTAGATACAAAGAAGAAAGAGCGAGCCCATTTAAAAACAAAACATGGGAGTCAACTCCCTAAGTCAGAGCAGGGTGAAGCTTTGGACAGCTGCTTCTTTCCTTGTCCTGTTCTGCCCTATCCTGCCCTGAAAGTAAAGGAGTGGACCACCTAAAGACTTGGCCCCTTGGGTTGCCTTTGATTTAGACAGCCTAGGTGTAGCCTATTGTTGGGGTGGATTAGAGGTTTAATATGCTTTGCATGCTATTATTGAATGAAACAACGATTTTTCATTAGGGTCTGCCCAGCAGTCTCTAGCTGCAATTTAAATTCTTTTGGGGGGAGATGTCCCTTTCTTCCAGGGGAGAATGACACTGGAAGAACTAGGGCATGGAATATCAAGCTGGGCAAATTCAGATCAGCTGTTGGGTGAAAAAGGGGCAGAACGTTGCTCAAAGACTATATATTAGGTTAGTTGTCCTCCTAAAAATGCGTGTTCATCCTAAGCAGATGCTGTGGATTTGATGCAGAACCTCCTGTGTCTGTGGTTTTCTTGCACAGGTGATTCAAACATTAAATCAAATAATTGTAATAACTGTAAATAGAATTGTAAATGATTGCTTAAAGTTCTGGTGAATGTAAATGGCAGGTGACTGAGACTTTGGGTTGGTGTGTGGGTTTAGCTTTATTCTGCATCGTTTATTACCGAATTGCACGGTCGAGGTTGTGAAATGGGTTTTATTCTAGAAAGCAAAATATTTTCCTAAACGAGGACTTGTTTGGTGAGGTGACTGCTTCTGTAGGCAGGGTGAAAGAAGTACTCCTTTAAACCTGTCATGTTATTTGTTTGTGTTGCAGCTTTCCTTTTCTCCTACCACGCCCATGAGCAGCCACATCAGAGTGCTGGCCCTGCTCATAGCCATGCTCCTGTCCTGCTGTGGATTGGCAGTTGTCTGTGGAGTTGTTGGCTACACCCATGGCATGCACACGTTGGCTTTCATGGCAGCAGAGGTGAGACTTCCTGCATCCCTCTTGTAGTTTCTGCTTGGCCTTTCACCCCTCACTCAGGGCTATCCTGGGACATCTTTTAGTTCCCGTAAGGAAGAAACTTTGAAGACACAAACAAGCCCTCCCTTGTTCTGCAGTAGTCGCCAGATTAGTGTACTTTCTCTCTTCAGCCTTTAAGCCTGAAAAAAAATCCTTGTCTGAAAAAGAGAATGAGAGGATAAACCTGCAAGATGATGCTGAAATCAAGCGACAGCCTATGAAAAAATAATGGTTGTGCTTCATGAGCGCTGCAAGAACCGCTCCTTGAAACGGCACCAGAGAGAGGCAGAGAGCGTGCAGGAGAAGTGTAATGTGCACTTCAGCCTCTTTCTCTGAGGCTGCATTTTCTATTTCATTTCTCCCTAAAAGGGATGAGAATCTTTAAGGCACACACTTGGGATTTGCTTCCGTTTGTGTAACGAGTTGTGTCTCAGCTGAGATGAACGAGCATGTTTGAGCACTCCCGAACCCTTTGCACTGCGGAGTAAACATCAGTACGTTTGTGGATTGAACATTAGTATGGGTTTGATGTTGTGCTGGGTTGTTGCACCCTGCCTGAGGAAGTGATAATCTTAAACAAAGGAGATGAATCCGGTATAATTGCAAGTATGTTGTGCTAGCACGTCCTTAGTTCAGATAACAAGCAGAATGTACGATTTATTTTTCTTCTCCTGTTTTGAATTCGTACTTGGAGTTAGGGAGGAGGAAAGAAAACAGTTTGCTGACAGTAGGAGAATACGATGCTGATCGCAGCACAGCTCAGTTATTTAATATGTCACTTCATTTTTCCCTGAATATGAGAATGTGCACGACCAGATTTGTAACCACACAGAGAGGAAAGGTGCTGAAGATTTGCCAGTGTCTGTCACAGGTGGGGGGGTCTTGTTGGTGTCGTGTCTCTTATCTTGGTTTGGCAGGAGGATGTATCAGCCTCGCCCCAGCACGGGCTGGGTTTATCAGGGAGTGTTCTGGTGCCTGAGTGTTGCCTCCTAAGCGCTGCACCGTGTGCTAGTGAAGTGTTTTGGGTGGCAGGATGGGGCCCAGCTGTTCCTGTCAGTGGGAGCTGTTCTGTCTGCTGCCTGGTGAAGGAGTGGCTCAGGCAGTGTCAGTGCAGGGGAATCTTCTGTCTGATAATCCCAGAATGGTTTGGGTTGGAAGGGACCTTCATGATCATCTACTTCCAAGCCTCTTGCCATGGGCAGGGAATAATGTCCCCTAGCTATCATCTAATACATCTGTGGTGAAGATCTGCAAAGAATTGTTCCCTGTTTACTCTTCTTAATACTATTTGTGATTTTATTGTCCTTTCTCTCATTCCCCTCCTGACTTTCTAAGCAAAAGAATTCTAGTCTGTTTAATCTTTCCTCATAAGAAATTGTCTACTATCTTGCCCTTTTTTGAACATTTTAAATATTCCCTGTATGGATTTGGTGACCATGAGTGGTTTCCTTGATTTTAGTACCCAGCACTCACGTGAGTGGAATTAAACATTTGAGGTTTCTTTCTGTACAGGAACTGGCAGGGACACTCATGGCAGCCCTCAAGCTCTCAGCAAAAAGCGTTAAATCTTGCACACTGAAATGTTTTCCTGGTGGTGGCTCGTGTGATGCTGCTCCACAGGGACCCTGCCAAGCGTATTCCATTAGTGTGAATGAATTACATTAACTTACATTAAGCTATTAATCTCTTTTCTGACTCTGCAAACATCAATTTAGCTTTTTGCCTCAGGGTTTTCAATAAAGCAGTACAGATGTTTTTCTTGTGTTTCAGGTAGACTTCCCCTTGTTCTCTGTTGTTTGTCAGCATTTTCTTTACTGCAAAGGGTGGATGTGGAATGTGCAAATGCCCAGAGAAAGTTGAATAAGGACCTGTCTGTATTTCTGAGTAAACATTTATCTCTTTTTACCTTAATACACAGTGATTGAGAACTATAGCATAGCAAGCAATGTCCAGTCAGTCCATCTTTGCACCTTATTTGTTGTAAGAAAGAATTACTCCATTCCTGTAGAAGCCATCCTGTGCTCCTGTTTGACACATCTCAGTTAAGGCTGTCTAATGACAGTGATATTCCAGTCTCAGGGCTGTACCTTATGGACAATAGTGTATTTTCCTGTACAGCTTCTCCCTCCACATCCATTCCCGCTGGGTTTGAGTGTCTGATGTGCATGATTAGCATCTATCTGCCAGTGTCACGGAGTCCCTGGGGGATGAGCTGTTCATTTTGGGCAGAGCAAGAGCCCTGAAGGTGTTGGAACTGAAAATGGCCTGCTGTACACTTGGAACCTCAGATCACAGAGCTGTGTGACTTGTGATGCAGTGCTGTACTTTCTGCAAAGTACTTGCTGGAATGCATTTCTGGAAAGAGCAGAGGAACTGGAGGCCAGTGCCTTCACCAAATCTGCCCTGGCTTGGCTTTTCAATTCTGATGCTTCTGCTGCCTCAGCACTGACCACTACCAATCATGTCTTGGCAACGTTAACATCTTAAAAATTTAACATCTTAAAAATTACAAAGACTAGACCTTTCAGATTTCTACCTCTCAGGTGTCTTCCTTAGTGGAGACTTCATGCCACCTGTGCTGGCTTCTGACACAAGTTTGTGTCAATGGCATATCCATCCAGCAGCTCAGGCAGTCGTTGTGTTTCACCACTTACTGGGTTAGGATGGGGATGTGTTTACTTTTTCCTCTGTGGTCTGCCCAAAGTTTCTCTGTAGTGACAAAATGTTGTGCTTGCCTTCTTTTGTGGTGTTTGAATGATGTTTGCATCTTACCCCAGTGTTCATCTCACTGAAAGGTTGCGCTGGTGTTTAGGTAGTCACAGAAACGTTTATTTTAAAGCCAGCTAGTAAACAGTTGGCAGGCATGTTGGGTTTTACAGAGGGTTAAATATGCATAGTAGGATTTAAAGAACGCTTTTTACAGATGGAAAAAAATGATTCAAACCAACTGGTTTATTGCTATGTTGGGGAGTCAGTGGGTTTAATAATTCTTCTGCACTGTTTGTAGTACTTATGCTGAAGGCATGCCATCAGACCAGTTCCACAGAAGTGGTTTCAGTTGCTCATTGTAAATCCCCTGCATCTCAGTGCCAGTTGGCCCCTGTGAACTCCAAGCTGGTGTGGGCACTGAGGATAGAACGAAGGGGCAGAGCACTGTGGGCTTGATGGGTTAGAGAGAGGTGATGGGGCCATGTTTCTTGGATGGTAAGAACCCAGAGAAATGTGGTTAGGTATTCTGGAAACAGTTCTTTCTAGTGACTTGTCTTTACACCCCTGATCTTACCCTTTCTGATATACTCAGGGTTTTTCCTCTGTACTGAGCCTGGAGGGGTAAGTATGATTAAAGAGAGAAGTTACTTTAGCAGTGTTTACATCTCAGCAAAGGGGGGAAATTATTTGACAGTTCTCCCATGGTCTTCCTCAAATTCCTGGTACTATTCAGTTTCAGGGGTTTTTTTTAGAAGTGGGGCGAGTAGAGGTAGTTGGTGGGATTGTGGTCTCAGCACTACCTGTGTGATAATAATTGACCAAGGTAGTGTGTCCTGTGTAGTGGGGGAAAAGTGACCCCTAACAGCAGTAACACTAGTGTGACTGCTCTAACAGCATTGTGTGATTGGGAACAGTGTCTTCCATATTTATTGATGAGCTTCATGTTTGTCACAGGTATATTGTGCACACAGTCACCTGTGGGGACCACTGGTTCACAAGAACTTGTTCAGCTGCAATAAATGCATTTCATGTTTTAGCCCTCGAGCTCCTGCATCTGAACCACTGTCCCTGCCAGGATATTGTTAACATGTGTGGTTTTTTTTTCTTCCCATTTTGCAGTCTCTGCTTGTGACAGTCAGAACTGCTCACGTGATTTTACGGTGAGTAGCTTATGTTTTACAGGGTGGCTCTGTGTGTGGCCTGTTGATGTGAGAGCTGTATGTAACGACCCTGTTGAATTGCAAACGCGTGTTTGGAGATTGAGAGCAGCCCTGAGAAGAAAGACTTGAGGGTGTTGGTGGATGAGAAGCTTGTGGTGACCCAGGGATGTGTGTTTGCAGCCCAGGAAGCTCCCCTGGGTGTCCTGGGGTGCGTCCCCAGCTGCGTGGGCAGCAGGGCAAGGGAAAGGATTCTGCCCCCCTGCTCCCCTTGTGAGACCCCACCTGCAGGGCTGCCTCCAGCCCTGGGGTCCCCAACGTGAGAAGGGTGTGGAGCTGTTGGAACGAGTCCAGAGGAGGCCATAAAGGTTCTCAGGGGGCTGGAGCACCTCTGCCATGGAGACAGGCTGGGAGAGTTGGCCTTGTTCAGCCTGGGGAAGAAAAGGCTCTGGGGAGGCTTTAGAGCCCCCTCCGGTACCCAGAGGGGCTCCAAGAGAGCTGGAGAGGGACTTTGGACAAGGGCATGGAGCAGCAGGACAAGGGGGAGTGGCTTTAAGGTGACAGAGGGCAGGGTTAGATTAGAGATTAGGGGTTTGGTGAGTCACTGGCACAGGTTGCCCAGAGAAGCTGTGACTGTCCCATCCCTGGAGGTGCTCAAGTCTAGGCTAGCTGGGGCTTTGAGCAGCCTGGTCTAGTGGAAGGTGTCCCTGCCTGTGACAGGGGATGGGGAACAAGATGAGTTTCAAGATCCCTTCCAACCCAAACCATTGTGGAATTCTATGAGATGGGCAAAGAATCCGTATCCAGAACTTGTTTGAAAAATGGGTAAAATAGTTTAAATTACAGAGATGCTATTTAACAAAAGAGGTAATGGTAATTTCCCCGCTCTTGCAGATACGTGGTTCATCTCTGGGATCTCAACCATGAAGGAACATGGGAGGGCAAAGGCACTTACGTCTACTACACAGATTTTGTCATGGAGCTAACCTTGCTTTCCCTGGACTTGATGCATCATATTCATATGCTGGTATGAAATACTTAAAATAAAGGGTATTTGGTACACTTATTTTCCTTATTTTTTTGCTTAGCTTATTTTAGAAACCAGATATTACAGGAAAGTTACTTAAATAGAAATGCAAGTGTATGGGGGGGATTCTGGCATTCTTTCCTCCTGCGTAATTGGAGTCATCACAAATAACTTTGTTATGGAGTATTAACTACTGTGTAATTATCTGTTTAACAGGTGTTTAATTAGATTTTTTTTTTATTGAGTATTATCAGACTGAATTATCTTCATTGGCAGCAGGGGGTGCTAAGCTGGACAGGACTGAATACGGTTTATCCTCATGGTAAATGCTGTGCTGCCAAAGCTGTATCTGAAGGGGTGATGAGCAGGAACGTGTGGGTTAGTCCAACTGGAGTCAAAGACGACAAATCAATCCTTCAGTGCTGCTTTTAACAACAAGAACTCATGCAGCCTGTTGTCTCTGCTGGTGTTTGCTTCTCACCGCTGCCGTTTTTCCCCCCAGCTGTTTGGCAACATCTGGCTGTCCATGGCGAGCCTGGTGATCTTCATGCAGCTGCGCTACCTGTTCCACGAGGTGCAGCGGAGGATCCGGCGCCACAAGAACTACCTGCGGGTGGTTGGGAACATGGAAGCCAGGTGAGCCTCTGCCTTGCTCTCCAGTCCTCCTGTAGATGTAGGAGAGAGAGGATCCTGACAAAGAAGCTGGGATTCTTTCACTTTTCCCTTGCCACACAACGGCGTGGTGAGGTGCAGCCTTGAGTCTTTACACTCAGAGTGTGTTTTTACCCACTTTATTTGTTATTTATTTTGGACCTCTGTGGGTTTGGTTAACTCCGGTGCCTGCTGCTGTAGTCCAGAGGGAGAAGACTGGCTTGTCTAAAAATTCCTGCAGTTTCCTTTGTGAATAGCCATTGAGTGGCTGTGATATCAGGTTTAGAGCTGCATAATGAAGCTCATCCACAATGCATTGGTTCTTTTCAGCAAGATGCAGCCACTAAACTCCTTTGAGCTGCTCACAGAGCTGTTTAAGTTGCTCACGTCCCAGACTTCTTGTCTGAGTGACTTGATGTTTTTTGGTCATTCTGACTGTGCTGGGAGAGCCACATTCCAGCTTCCTTCTGGAGCTGCCAATGGCAGCGAGCTCCCTGCCTTTGTGTGGTTGTTCTTGGGGTGTATTCCCCACCAGCAGCACTGTGAGATGATGTTATACACTCATTTCTATATGGTCTGTGTTTGGCTGCTGTGTAGTAACTGCTTACATGGCACTGTAGCTTAAGAGAAAAGGAAGGAAAACCAAGACAAATGGGGTTGGCAAAATCTGAGGCCAAAATTAGTCAGACTGTAAATGCTTATGATCCCAAGGAGACATCTTAATGGGTACAGCTATTAAAACTCATTTAGAAAAATGACATAAGCCAAACCTATACAGATTATAACTTGAGGATCTCAACCTAATGATCATGTAATTATCTCATGGAAGGTACTAAGTCAAAGCTTTTTGCACTTACGGATGTATGAGGAGATGGGCAAAAAAAATGTGCTTGCAAAAGGCGTGGGAGGGATGTGTGTGTGGGATGTGTGTGTGTTCATGTGTGTCCCTTTGCAGCGTGCCCCTGAGCTACCAAAAAAACCCAGCACACCTGCTGGCACAGCTCTTCCAAGGGGGGGATAAGGTTTTCTCAGGGCTGGATTCTCCAGAGGGGAGGCCACGCTGAGCTGTTGTAGCCATTACTTGGGTCTCTCCCTTTCTCTCCCGTGCAGGTTTGCAGTTGCAACCCCGGAGGAGCTGGCGGTGAACAACGACGACTGTGCCATCTGCTGGGACTCCATGCAGTCGGCGCGTAAACTGCCGTGCGGGCACCTCTTCCACAAGTACGTGTGTGGGGCTGGAGGGGTGGGCATGGCTGGAGTTACAGTGTGTGCCAGCACAGCTGGGGGTGTTTGCTGCCTGGGCCCTCTCGCTCCGCTGCTGATAACAAAAGGCAGGTCCTGCTCACGCCAGCCGTGCTTGTGTTTGAGTTGCTTCACCTGCTGCGTTTTTTCCACCAAAACTGAGTGTGTGCACCTTGCCAGCTGACGGGTGGGTAAGTGGGGAGTTTCTCGATGGCAGGTCAGTAGGTTTGTCGTCCGTGAGGGTGTGTTGATTCTCAGGTGAAGAAGAAAACCTTGAGTTAAATCCTTAGGTACCTTTCAGATACCAGCTTTAAAGAGAAAATGGGGAATATTTTTATACAGTGCATCCTTGCACGGTGGTGAGTCCCTGGGGACAGCTGTGGAGGCCAGGTCTGGTTCTGTGGTTTCATGGGGGGGGATGAGTCCATCAGGGCTGTAAATGAGGTTAACCAGATCAGCTGAAGTGGTCCCTGAGCACCTGGTGGTTGAAACTGGGGAGCTCTTGGCCCAAGGATCTCTCTGTAAACTGCTTCTTACACTCATTCAGTAGTGAACTGTAGCAGATGCTTGTGGGGACAGTGTGCTGAGCTAAATGTGACTTTTCTTGGATCCTTTGTAGCAGTGCTTACACTTTCTTGCTTGTGCTTAAAAATGAAAGGAGGTGCAGGGATTGAATCTGGCGTTTCTGAAGTGCCGTGTGATGAACGTGCAGGGTCAGTTAAACTGTCCCTGTGGTGTTACTTTCTGCAAATAGCTTTTTACTTTTCTGGTAACTGTCAAACCAGAGGTTGTAATAATCTTCATGCTAATTTGTTGTCATTTATGACAAACCTTGCCATAAATATTTATCTGTGTTCCAAGAAGTCTCTAATGAGATAATGTGCCGCCGTAGCAGAAACTCCTCTTCCAGTGCTACTGAATCATGTGAATATTTAATCACCTGCTGAGCACTTGAGAAGCCCAGGGTCTTCTCTTCAGAAAGTCATTTTTTCTGTATTTAAAAGGATCCTTTTGTGTTTTTTTCTGAAGCAGTTACAGCTCTGAAGCAGTTTTTTCTGAAGCAAGTTACACTCCTTGGTGCTTTTAGGGAGGGAACACATTACAGTGGATGACTTATGCTTGCATATAAAACCAGATGTAACTAATAACCCTATTTACAACCTGAGAGTGGTTTCTCTCCTCATAAAAGCCTGATGATTTTGCAAACAGGCTGAACATCATGTCCATTCTCAGTCATGTGGGATTTTTTTTTCATCATTTATTTGGAGTGGAAGAGAAAGTGGCAGGGAAGATTCACATTGCTGAGATCAACCCTGTGCCTAAATATAAAAGAAATTTAATGGGAGTAGGTGTCTGAATCTTTTAGGTTCTGTAGAAGCTCTCTCCTTTTTCTTTCTTTTAGGAAGCAGTCACTTTCAAAAGATAAATGCTTTGTTTTCCCTTCCAGACTAAACTTGCTTGTTCTGAGCTAGAGGGACAACAAACTTGGAGAGTGTTTTAAGTTTGTGCTAAATCTGCATGCATTTTTATAAAAAGTGAACACTTGAGCATTTTCAGCTGAAAGAAGTACGAAACCTATGCCAGAGTCATCAAGGGTATCTGTGAGCAGTCCGTGTGTGGATGTTGTGTACAGAACATGCCACAGCTGCTTGATGTACTCGTGATAGTGGTGTCTTGGAAAAACGCTGCCAGCTCACCCTAATATTCCTGTTTTCCTGTCAGCTCGTGCCTGCGGTCCTGGCTGGAACAAGACACCTCTTGCCCCACCTGCAGAATGTCTCTGAATATCACTGACAGCCACCACGTGAGGGAGGATCACCAGAGGGAAAACCTGGATGAGAACCTGGTCCCCGTGGCAGCAGCAGAAGGCAGACCACGCCTGAACCAGCACAATCACTTCTTCCACTTTGATGGTGAGCTGAGCACCTCTGGCATCCTCTGCTTTTCCCAACTGAACAAAGGGAGCAGCCTTCTGTGGACGGGAATTCTTCAGTTGAAACTCAGAGCGTGCTCTGCTTGTGTTTGTCCAGTGCCTGTGTGCTTCTTGCAGCTCTTTTATGTGTCTCTGAGGTTGTCCAGAGCTATGGAGATTTCTTGAAAGATTTAGAACGAGTACTCCCCTTTTCAGGATTTGTTGTGGTTAACATCTTCAATACTGGCATTTATTCACTGTGTGCCATGTTGACAAGCAGAATGGGAAATTCGTGTGTGTTTTTTTGTTACCGTGTAGTGGGTAATCAGTGGCAGTCAAAGAGGGGAAAAATCCCTTCTGGGGTGCAGTCTAAAAGCTGGTCTTTCCCCTGTCCCATAGCTAATGTGTGGTTATCAGAAATCCATTTGCCACTTGATTAACAAGACACTTGCAGTGCTTGGGCAGGTGCAGAAGGTTAGTCTTGGAAGCAATCTTGTAACTACAACAGTTTTACATGTTTGGTTTTTTAGTGGTCTGTTTTAAGTACTCACAGGGCAGATGTGATTTCAGACCATGAAATGTTCTGTGTACACAGACAACTTGTTTTGAAGAAGACAGTTTCCCTTGCTCGTCTTCCAGGTTTATTGCAGTGTTGGTGTCAGTGTGTGTTTGTTCCCCAGGTGTTGATGGCAGGCTCGTTTCTCAGTAGGTTCAGTACTGCAAATAACTCAGTTTTGGGCTCTGCCCTGCTGGAGCTCCCGTGAGGTGGCTGAGATGCTGCAAACTCACACAGTGACCTGTTCTCAGTCTCTGCTTGTTTTGCAACCTTTGGAGATGGTGGGAGGAGAAGAACGGGCAGAGAAGGGTCAGACATTTTCTAGGTACACTGAAACTGGCTGATAGCTTCTGTGTGGCTTCTGCTTTTTTTGGGGTCTGCAAGGTCTGCAAAGGACATTTATCTTTAGAATAGCACCATATTGTTGATGGCTGTCCTCCCCAGTGCTCTCCTGTGGCTTGGAGACCCGCAGAATTACCATGGAGATAGAAGGAGAAGTGGCACAGAGCAAAGGCTGTGTTTATGTAAATGGCAGTGCAGAAGGAGGAGGGAGCCAGCCGTGTGCCCTTCTCTGTTGAGCTGAAGCACACAACTGCAGCAGTCACTTTGTTCAGTTACTCTGGGTCCCTTTGAAGTAATACTTGCTCAGTGATGACCCATTTTGGGACCAGATTCAGATTGTTTAGAAGGTGTCCTGTTTTAAGTAAATTTGCTGGAGTTATTCATGTATTCCAGAACTGAATTTGACTCTGGATTATTTTAATTTTCACCATAATGGGAACATTAAAAGAAGAAAACAGGGATGTGTTTTCTTGGTACTCTTCCAGCCCTCAGATTGTTAAACCACTGACAGTTGTTTGAGGAGAGTATTGGCAGTGACTGATTTATTCCAGCCATCTCTCATGTTTGGAGACCTTAGGGAAGGGCTGCACTGCAGAACTCCCTGTGTGTACCTTGTAGAATATGAAGAGTTATATTAAATACACATAGAAGGACTTCACCTGCTGAGAGTCTCATGTTCTTTTTTGACTTTCTTGGTGGTTTTTTTTTTCCCCTCAGGCTCCCGAATCGCCAGCTGGCTGCCCAGTTTTTCCGTAGAAGTGATGCACACCACAAACATCCTTGGAATTGCACAGGCCAGCAACTCCCAGCTCAATGTTATGGTAAGACTGCTTTAATAGCTTGCACCTCAGCCTTCCTGTTTGTGTGGTTTTGGGGACAGGGGCACGTGGAGATAGAGAACAAAGGGGGAGGAAGTCAAACCAGAGGTTAGACACTACAGGAAAGGTGTTTTTCTGAGAGAAGCTTTATTTTAGTGAAGTTAGGGCTAGATTGGGGTTCAAATGTGGCAGCATAAAAGAACAGGTCTGGAGGTGGGTGAATGAGGGAGAAAAGTGACATATTCCTGTATAGTTAGGCAGACTTTTTTCAGCTTGCTTACTGCAACTTCTTTAACTCCTTCTCAGCACTTCACTCATAACTTGCAGTGCCAAAAAGTGTGAGTCTGTAACCAGAGCACTTAGCTGTTGGTCATGTAGCAACTGACCCAACTCATTCTATAGCTTTATTGTGTTTTTTTTTCCTAATCTTTAAAATAGCACTGAGCTCCCAGACAGCTGTTTCTCTGAGAGTCCTGTCAGTGTGAGGTGGGGCTCTCCAACACCCTCAGCCCTCGCTGATGATAGAAATGTAGAGGATGAAGTCCCAGGTCTGTTCAGTTCATCCATAAACACTGATGTAGCACAGAAAGAGAAGGATGTGGCCTCATGAAACATTTCCTTTGAGCAGTGCTGTGTCCTTTGAGTTGTTCAAGCTGTAGCTGTGTGCTATAACATGCTAATAAATGTTCAGTGAGGTGCCTCATGACAGGGGTGGAATTGTCTGAACATGAGGTCTCTCCCATAGCCTTCACTACTGGTTAAGCCTCAGCAGGGTAAGGCCCTGATTTTTAGGGGGGTTTGAGGCAGGGCAGGCAGGGGAACATTAAGGTGTTGACAGATGGCTTATTAGTTAAATATGCAGGAACTCTCCATCTGAGGTCAGCTTGGTTTTTCTGGACACAGTGACACAAATGGGCTTTTGTTAAGGATGAGTAATGATTTCTTGGGATTGTGCATTATGAGAAGTACAGTAACAACTTATATTAAAATGGCTGCTTTAATGGAAAGGCTCAGGTTAGCAAATTCTCCTTTGTGATTCTGAACAAAAATCTAGGGAAGTATTTTGAGGGGAAGGCCAGAGGCTGAAATGCTAAATCAACTGTTTTGGTCACAAGTTAGTACAATGGAGGGTTAGGTTTGCAGTAGTTGCTCATGTTGGAACTCACTGTCAGCTGATGCATAGGTTTTGCTTTGCTCTTGAAACTCCTTCCACCCTTCTTTTCTTATTGTTGTTCTCATTTCTCCCTGTCTCATGTGAAAATAGAGATTTTAATATTTAATGAAATATAGCTGTTGGACTCTAAAAACATTTTGTTTGTCTGCCCTCTTACTTTTATCTATTTAATTTGGATTATTATTTAACTAACGTGGAATTCAATAATAACAGTTTCCTGACAACTTGGTTTAATTTACTTGAGCTTCAGATACTATTCAACTGGTTTGTAGGCAGGGTGGCTGGAGAGAGTGGGTTATTAAAACTTACTCCCCTTGCCCTTACCAGTACCATTTTGGAACCTGTCTGGCACAAAAGAAAAATGCTTCCCAGCGTTGTTTTAACCTTCAGTCACTTGTGACTGTTATACAGATCTTTATTAGAAAGGCTGTCATTAAAAAAAAGGGTTGGGAGGCTTTTGAAGCCTTTGTGCATCTACAAACACTGTTCAGGAACTTAAATTTTCAGGGCCATGTGGTGCCTCCATAGGAGTTGCATTTTGCTGTTGACTGCAGTGAAGTCACTGCCAGCGTGGGTTTTCTTTGTGTGTGGGTTGGCACATCATGAGCTGCATCTTGGAGGTGATAACATTTTTAATCTCTTTCTTTTGACATATTTATCAACTTGTATTTACTGTTGATGTTTGACTGCATAAACCTTGCTTTCTCCAGGCCCATCAGATCCAGGAGATGTTCCCTCAGGTTCCTTATCACTTAGTTCTGCAGGACCTGCAGTTAACTCGGTCTGTAGAGATCACCACTGACAACATCCTGGAAGGGCGCATCCAGGTGCCTTTCCCCACACAGGTAACTCAGGAGACTGTACACCTGAAATACTGACTGTCTTACCCACCACAGCACTGAGCCTGTTAATGATGAGTGAGGGGAACGATGTAAGGTGAAGCACTGGTGAATCCAGGATTTCTTTGTCCCTTTGTTTAAATCTCTGTAAATGCAGTATATTCAGTCACGTGCCAAAAACATATTGAAAATGTCCTAGCTGGACTAGAGACAAATATTTGCTCAGTTAAAGCAGCTCTTCCTGGTCTCTCCTGTGCAGAGCCTTTAGAACGTTTCCAGTTGATTTCTCTGCTGACAGATAATTGAATTGTACCACTTAGGAAGGTTTTCTGCAAAGAAAGTAGTCGGCAAAATGATGCCTTGTCCTTAATTAGTGCTAGCAGATTTCAGTAAAGCAGTCTGGGGACAATGTTTCTGTTAATAAGAATATTGAATTCTGGTTCTGGGCACATCAGATAGTGCTGTTATCTGGAGTCTGCCTGTGGGGAAGCAGAGAGACTTCTCTTTCCACACAGAGCATTCTGTTTACTGCGAACTTCTCTGTTTCTGAATTGAACCCGGGGCCTGACGCTGCAGAGGGCAAAGTGTGAACGTGTTCAAAGGACTGGGTTTTGTTTGCCATTTCACACACTGTGTTAAAGCCCTGATGTTTGCATTTCAGCGTGCAGACAGCATCAGGCCTGCCTTGAACAACCCTGTGGAGCGGCACAGTGCTGACCAGGAGGATGCTGGAACTGCCACACAGGTAATTTGGCAGGAAAAAGGGCAGAAGCTGCATGGACTCGTAGGTGCCTTTGGCTCCACACGAGGTGGGGTTGGTGGCAGCCCTTCCTTGCATTTCACCCCAGGGCAAGCAAGGTTCAGGTTGGGCAAGTAAGCCAGAGTGGAGCACGGTGCCCCTGTGAAGGATTGATTATCTGCCTGCTTTGCTTTTCCTCCTTGAGGGAAAGGGCTCTCCAGTGACACAAAGAACAGAAGGAGATCGTGTCTCTGTTCACATCTGCTCAGCCCGTGCCCATCTGTGGAGCACACAGAGCAGGATGTTTTGCCCTTCCCCTTCCTCTTCCCATTCTGTGCACCTCCAGACACTTCCATTAAAATGGAAAGTATTTCTCCTCTGGGTGTAGGAATTATTCTGGAGGAAGTGCTTTAAGACATGGGAAGCTTTGGTAGGAATGGAGTGAGATACAGGAACAGGATCAGGATATAACATCCCTTTTCCATATAAAGCACAATAAGGGGTTTTGCTGTTTCTCACCAAATGCTTTATTAAGCAGCATGTGCTTGCTCAAATGGAGGAGAAAAAAATTACCCTGTGAGTAGACTAAAGTCTCCTTCTACTTTTGTTTTCCCTGACTGTTTTTCCTTTTTTTTTTTTAAATCAACATACCCAGTGAGAACCTTTGTAGTCCAGCAAGTGCCAGACCCATTGGAGTTCTGCTTCTTGGAAATATCACTTCTTCAGGCAGCTGAGGTGCTCAAATAAAAACACTCTTCTTCCTGAGCAGTGTTTGTTTTCCTAGTGTCACATGTCATATGATGACTTAATTCTGCCTAAAGTTCAAAGGTTTTAAGATAGGGATAATGACTGTCTTAAGGTAATGACTCTTTTTTTTTTTCCCCCCACTTGTGGCTTGTGGTTTTGAGGAGTCAGTGCTGATACAATGTAATGGCAATTGAGAGGCATCTCTGAGCACCATCGTGGTGTAAATCGCGTTAGAGGTTTGTGAGATGATGCTCCAAGCACTGACAGCCTCTATCAGTCCTGGCCTGAAATGTGCTTCTCTCCATCAGCACTGGGATGCTGATGCTTCCAGCAATGCATAATTATGCTCTGCACCTCCTCTCCATCCCTGTCCCATTTGCCCCCTCCCCTCTTTTCTGACTCCACTGGCACTCCCACAAGAACAGATTGTGGAGCAGCTCGAGCTACCTTCTCCAGGCTTCTATTCTGATGTACTAAAATGTATTTAAAGATTATCCTTTGATTATTTTTCTTTGTGTGTGTGTTTGTTTATCTGTTTCTCTGGTCCTGGGCAGAGGTTGGGTAGGACTGCTCAGACCTGACTGGCAAGGCTGTTGTTGCAAACCTGAAGCTTGCCTGGTGCAGCTCTTGCCCCCCTCCTTGGGAAATCCAGTTTATTCTCGTTGCTTAAGTACTTGGTGACTAGTGAGAGAGTCTTCCAAGGCATCCCATGGCTTTCATGAAACAAACTTGTTCTCTTGGAGCCTGAAGGAGGAGTGGTTTCTGTAGCACACAGGCTTTTGCATCTGTGATCTGCTGCCTTACTGAGGCTTGCCATAACCTTTACTGCAATGAGTTGTGATGGCTTTGTCTCCAAAACCTCCTCAGTAACTGTTCTTGTGCTCAGAGGACTCTGGGTATTGATTTTTAATGCTTTGTAAATTTATGAAAGCCCCCCCAAATCTCAGATGAGCCAGCTTGCATCTTCTGATACCAGTGGCCCAGGGGGAAGAACACGAGATCTTGTCTGAACACCAGCCACAGTGAGTGGCCTCCTCACTGCTTCCCCCACTGCTCCCCTGTTCCCTGCCTGCCTGTGTGCTCGTCAGGCTGCTCTGTTCCCCTTCCACTGGGGCTGCCGAGGTCGCCTTGGCCCCGAGTGCAATCCCTGACCATTCTGTGGGGCTCTCCCCTCATCCTGGGGGATGTGGCACTGCTTTGGGGCACTCCCTGGTACCCCCAGGTTATCCCAGCGCGTTTGTGTGCGTGGTACAGGACCCCCTCCCTAAACTGCAGCCTGCTAGGGTTTGTGCAGAGAGGGGCTGAGCACACATAGTCGTGTTTGGGGCCGCTCTGATGGCTGTGACGGGGATCAGGACGTGCTGTGTCACCTGTGCTGCTGCACCCACGTCCTTGTGGCAGGTCAGCCCTCGTGTTGGTGCTGTCAGCCACATGCCAGGGGGGAGAGCTGCCACGGGTGGGGCTGCCAGCTCCTCTTACTGACACACTGTGCTTGGCACAGTTGCCAGCCTTGCTCTGCCAGTCCCAAACATTTGGGTGCTGCAGAACCCAGTGAAGCGAAGCCTCATAAATTCCCTTCTCGAGCACAAATCATCTCTGCAAATTCATTCGCTGTTCTTTCCTTAATATGTGGATTTCTGCTTTCTCCTCTCTTTACTGTTGCATCACTTGTCAAGTCAGCTGCAGAATCTGACTTTCAAATGCCCCGTTTTCAGAGAGCATTAATTATGAGTAATTAATGTTTGTCTTTGACACTACTTTCAAACATGGCATAAAAGATACAGCATTATAGGATACAGGCTCTTTGAACGTGGTTTGAAATAGCTTTGTTCTGTTTTTTGGCTGGGCTTTTCAAAGGAGCCCAAGGGAACTGGGTACAGCAGGTGAGAGTCTGGTTTCTTCCAGTGCCTCAGAAAATGACAGTTCTTTGTAGCTCGTTGTTTTGATGCAAAGAAGCCTAAATTTTGCAGAGACTTACGCCTTATTTCCTTTTCTCTTAGACCGAGAGAGTGCCTCTTGAACTCAACTCCAGGCTGGAAGAGATGGTGGAATTCAGCGAAATGGAAGCAGAGCCCAGTGAAGCAGAAGATTTTGAGGCCAGGGGAAGTCGCTTTTCCAAGTCAGCTGACGAAAGGCAGCGCATGTTGGTTCAGCGGAAGGAGGACTTGTTGCAACAAGCTCGAAAGTACGTTCCTTCCGAAAACTCCAGCCTGGCCACTCAGTTGAGAGTCCCCCAGAAGGGGTTTCAAATGGATTATGACCACTGAGAGCCTGGGCTGGATGCAAAAAGCAGTAAGAGGAATGCCTGCATCTCCCGTGGCAGGCTCAGGATGCTGTTTAACACAACTGTTTCTGCCAAACCCAGCTCTGAAACAGCATCGTGTGTCCCAGCACGGACACGGCTTTTACATGCTCGATCCACAGCTCTTTGAAGTCAGAGGCTGATTTTTCCAGCTTCAATTGACTTTAGTCTGAGCCTGTAATAAGTGAAAATGGGTTACTTGTGCTGAGTCCTCTCCTAATCTTCAGGTTGGCTCCTGGCACAGGTGTCAGCCCCCACTGCCTGTGCTGTTACAGCTGAAGTTCCTGTCAGGCACCATACAGAGCAGCACAGGGCTGAGAGATGACCCTTACAGGAGCTCTCCAGAGGAGCTCAGGACCAGCCAGTCATCACCACTGAAGAGAAAGGGGCCAACCCGAACTGTTTCTTTTAGCCCAACCAGTAAGAGGTGTTATAGGTAGAATTCAACTTTTTTACATGCATCCCAGTCATTTTGGTGAACTTTACTAGCACTCGGTTGCTGATTAAAGAGAGAAGGAAAAGCATTTCAGTGATGCAGGAAAAAATTCTTAGTGTTTTTAACAAGTGTTGTCCCTTCCTTTGTATCTCAGGGACACGCTGAGAGGGTCTACAACAACCCAGAGTTCTGGGTCCTTTGGTGATCTCAGGGTACTGCTGCTCTTTTTGTTTTCCACACTGACATCCCTTTTATGCGCCTGTGGGTGTGACACCTTTAACAAGTCTATAAATACACTTGCTCCTAGACCTTATTTTCCCTTGATCTTTGAAAAAAATGTCTTTTAGGGAGAGTAAGTATTTTTGAATTTCTCGTTTACTGAAGAGCTGTTGAATTTCAAACTACTGTATTTTGCCACTAAATGCAAAAATCCATGGGGATGTTAACTCTGGCAGCAGCTTCCTTGTCCTCTGGCCTCACCTGACGCTTTGCAGCCCAAGTGCCCCTTTGCCACAGAGCTCCTGGCCGTCAGCAGGCAGTGCCACGTTGTGGCAGACACAGAGCGGAGTGAGGGGAGCAGGGGGAGTCAGGGACTCACCTGCAGTCTCAGTGCATTGCTCTGAGTGCAGAGCAGAGCCCTGACCCTTTAGAACTGGCTCCTTCCCACAGGCACGGGGATCTTGCACAAACCCCCAGAGCTCCTGCCAGCTCTGTGGAGTCCCCCGTAGGTGATGAGGGCTTTTTCTGGAGTACATATCTCCTGTGTGCTCTTACCGAGGTGTTTTCCTGCTTCCCAGCCCTCCCTGACTCTGGGGGGGGGTATTTTCCAGAGCCAGAACGAGGTGGGCTCTGCTCACCCACCTTCTCCTTTTCTTTTCCCAGGCGTTACCTGAACAAAACCTCGGAGGAGGAGCTGCCCCCCTCGAAGCCTTGTCCCGAGGGCGCGGCCGACGCGGTGACGCTGCGCCGCAGGACCCTCGCTGCCGCCGCCGAGCGCCGGCTTCAGATGCAGCAGAACTCCTAGCGCCCCTGCTCCCTCCTCCTCGTGAGCAACCTTCAATAAACAAATCAAACACCAACCCCCTGCGCTTTCTGGGCCAGCAGGAAAGCGTCTCTTCAGAGCTCAGCTGGCTGTGCTGCCGAGTGAGCTGGCTGCCTCTCTGCTGTACAAAGCATGTGGTCTAATAATGTTGGGACAGCTGACAAATTAACCTTTTTTTGTAATATTTTCTATGTGACGTTGATTCCCCTCCACAAACAAAAGGCAATTTCTTAACCGTGGGCACGATTTCTGCAGCTGGCACGAGCTGTGGGGCTGACTGCGCTGCAGAGGCTGGAGAAAGTGTGTTCTGAGCTAGCTGTGGGTGCAGGTCACGGAGCACACGGGCACGTTCTGCTCGAGATCAGGGAGAGTTACTCCGAGGGCAAGGCGGGTTAGAAGTTTGCAGCAATCCTGCGCTAGGCAAGCAGGCTCCTCAGTCCCTGTTGCTGTCGGCAGCCAAGGTGCTTGAAGGGCTGGGGGAGCATGGCTGGGAAGTTGTTCCACTGGATGACGCTGTCTGGCCGTGCAAGGCAGGACCCCCAGCCCCTGAGCTGTGCAGCCGAGCGCCGGCTCCCGTCGATTCCAGCCTCAGACAGGCAGTTTGCTTTGCTGGGCTCTCCCGCTCTGGCAGAGGTCTGGCTCTGCTCACCCCCAGGGCTTGCACCTTTCCTTCGTGTCCAGAGACGAGCAGAGGACGGAGGGGGATGGAGTGAAGAGGTCACAGCCCTTGCAGTTCAGTGTTACCGTGAGCCAAGGGAGCCGCAGGTGAAACCCGCCGGTCCCGCCTCTGGCGCAGCGCGGGTGGGACAGCGCCGAGCTCGCTCCCATGTCTGGCTTTTTACTTTGTTTTTAACCCCCCCCCAAGCTCACTGTGAGTTTATTCAGGAAGACTGGAGGAATGGGGACAGCTGGACCTTCGCTGGCTTCACCCAACCTGCTAACCTGGATTTTTCTTAAGAACTTTGGAGATCCCCTTGGCGCCGCCACCGCTCGCTTACATAGTTGAATTTTACATGGCAATGACTTAATTTTTAAACTTCTGGAGAGTGAGTTCTAGTTTCACCGTCCTTTAGAAGGAGCCCAGTATTACCTAGAAGTGTTGGTAACTTTTTTTACTGTTGGTTTTTAGGTGAAGGTGAATTTAATGAGAGGAATTGCATCGATGTTTAGGTGAGAATAATTTATTTCAATAAAACTCTTTGGGAAGCCTTACCTTGCAATGCTATTAGTAAACCTCAAAAAAATTTTTGAGATCTTTGGTTTTGCCTAGAACACAGCTGTTTGTTTTTATTGTTAAAAAAAAAACCAACCAACCAAAAATAAAACCTTGATCAGTGTTGGAAATTGTTTGGAAATTTCTGTAGTGTGGTTTCTCGTGTTCCTGGCGCGTGTTCGGTCTCTAAATGGGGCACCTGCACTTTGGTCCCCTTTGGTTCCCCCTTTCCATGTGATGAGAGGGAGCACAGCCTCCTAACACTGGGCTTGGGAACATTGTCCCAAGCCTTGGGCTGCAGGGCAGTAATTGCTACTGGAATTTGGCTGTGCTGTGAGCATGGAAATGGAAAACAGTGTCTCAAGGCACTGAAAATCGAGTGGGGCTTTGAGCTGTCTGGCAGTGTGTGGAAGGGAGCAGAGCTGCTGTCTGTGTGAGCGGTGCAGGGTTTGGATCTTGGTCCGAGCAGCAGAGCTGACACTCCTCTGGCACTGCAGAAGGGAGGGGGGAACACAGCACAGAAACCCTTCTGGTGGGCTCTGTGTCTCCATGAGCTCCCCTCGCTGCATTTCTGGGGGATGTTGTACCTGGTGATGCATTTTGTACACGATGGTGCAAACACCCCCAGCTGCAGGGGGGCTGCCTGCAGGGCACCCCCACCTTGGCCTGTCCTCCCCCAGCCCTCCCTGCCCGCTGCAGGACCCTGCTGTGGAACCCAGTCCTGCCGGCAGCAGATCCACGGGGAAGGGGAGGATGGCAGGAGCCTGTCCTGGATGAACCTCTCCTGCCCGAGGAGTGCAGGGGCTGCCTGGTGTGTGTGGGCAGAGGAAGGTTTGTGGAGCTGCACCAGGGCGGGTGGGGCTGCTTCAGAAACTCGGGCTGTTCTTTCTGGGCTTCTCCTGTTGGGCTCCTGACCTTTTCCTGGTGGCTCTTCCCTCTGCTCCCTGAGGAGCAGGCCCTGGCCGGCCACTGGATGGCATCTCTGCCCGTGGCACCGCTGCAAATGATCCACCTCAGCCACGAAAGGCTGGCTTGGCAGAAGAGCTCAGGGACCAGCGGTGGCCTCCTGGCCAGCTCTGCCTCCCTGGAAAGGGAGGTCACCTGAGGAGAAGCCTGATGGACTTTCCCAGTGCTCCTGGTGGCTGGAAACAGCAGGACCCTCGGAGAGGCCACATGGATCGGGAGCTGAGAACCTTCTTTGGTTTCTTAGGGGAGAAAACTCAAATACTGTGGGATTTCTGATGTTGCCACCAACAAAGGACTTGCCCTCGTGATTTTCTTTGCTTCCCTCAAAGAAATAAAAATATTTGCTTGCTTGGAGATTTTTTTTTTTTGGGGGGGGGGGGGAATTCTTGCTCCTGGTGATGTTCTGAAGCACAGACACTGGATAAACTGCATATAGTGGCTTCCACACACCACTATCCCAGGATTTACACCCAATCCGTAGCTCATCCCCTTCTCCCTGTGCTATCCCCCCCAAAAATGTGATTTTTAGCATCTTTTCTTCCTCCCTTTGGAAGGGGACAGGCAGGCAGTGGAAAGAAGGAGGCAGAGGCACAGGAAGGGAGAGCGCGGGGTACAGACAAACATTCTCTTTATTGAGCTACACATGAATTTTTCCATTAGTCAGAGAAAGAGATTGGCAGTGTGTAATATATCACAGAAACCTCACTGATTGGTAATAGAAAGGCTTAGAAAGACCTGGCGCTTTTTATATATATATATATATAATATTTTTTTTTTTAAGTTTCCTCTTTATTTATTCATTTTCTTTTGAACAGGTGTGACTGCTCTTCTTCAGCAAAGGTAACTCGTAAAAGTGAAACTGTGAAGACGTCTGGTTACTAATCAAAGTAGAAATGACGAGGGATTGGTCATGAAAACGGTGGCTTCAATGTAAACACTACATTCGATTTTTGTTGTTGGTTTTTTTTTTATTCTTTTTTTTAATTATTTTTTTGTGGTTTTGTGTGTGTTTTTTAAAATTTTTAAATTATTTTCATTCTTGCCTTTTTTATTTTTTTTAAGTTTGGTTTTTTTAAAGTTTTTTTTCTTTTTTTTTTCCTTTTTTTCTTATTTTGCAGCACAAACATCCCCCACATGAGAGAGAAAAAACACCATTCACTAAAAGGGAGAGTGGGCCGGGGTGGGATGGGGGGGTTGGGGGGAGGAGAGAAAAGCAGCACAAAAAAGCATTCACTGGAAAGAGTTTAAAATGAATAAAAACCAAACGAAAACAAAAAAAAATACTCTAAACAAAAAATAA